CACGGGCGATTACGCTTTTGCGCGCGCGCGCTCATTAGTGCGAAACATTACGTGTTTCTGAAGAATCAGTCAGGTCGCTCTAATGTGCAGTGCAATTATGTTCCATAAATCGGCGTGACAAATTGGTGGCGGATTTGCGAACGATGCTGTTTTTATAAACTGGATACTTTGCGAGGCATGCAGTAAAGGGATAAGTGTATTAAGGACGTGGACATAATGTTTTAAAGAGGTATAAGGACAAAATGAGCCGAGTTCAAGAAAGTGATCGGAGCAAGGGGACGGGCGGGACAAATCTTGTAAGTTATGAAAGAGGAGATCGAGGCTGGACAACGGAGAAAAAAGAAATATTCAGTGGCGTCTCCAGAAATTAATAAGAAGACCTTATCTTATCTGGAAGGGGCGGCCAAACAAAAATAGCGCAGAAATCGCATGTCACATGTAAACCAGTGGCATATTCACAAAATGAAAATAGTGCCCTGTCGGAAGGGTGGGGGGGGGGGGGGGGGGGGGCAAATCCGGGGCGGAATGCAATTGAACTGTTCCGCGTGTCTAATATTATTTGCAAATTATCATTCAAAAATATACCGTCTTATTTTCGAGGTACTGGTTATATCAAGGACAATTGTTTTAAACCTGTGTGATACAATGTCGATTCACATACTGCTCTTGACATGGCTTAATTCTCTCTCTCTCTCCCTTCCCCTCTCTACTTTCTACCAATTTCCTTATATATTTTCTCCTCTTCTAATCTGTTGGTGATATTTTAATGTCTTTTATTAAAGTGACTTGATATTTTTCTCCTGTTAATTTCAATTATTACATTTTCGATTTTTGTTTTTGTTTTGTGCTTTTTACTACTTGTAATGCGTATTCTTCTTATAAGTTAGTTTTACACTGTTCTTTCCCTTGCTTGTGAGCTTTGGTGATATTCATTATTAATATTTCCGTGTACTACATTTTGATTCTGTTCAGGACCATGATGTAAAAACAGATTTTGTATCTACAATGTATATCTGATTCTTGATATCCTGAATGAACTTTATATTTCAATTAAAAAAATATAAAAAATAAATTATAGTACCATTTGCCCCTAAGCAAATGCCTCAAAGCAAATGGTACTATTGGAGTCACATCTTGCCAATAGTTTCAACCAGAACCTCTCAAGACAGTATATATTTGTATATTCTCATACACTCGCAAACAATGTCACACACCTACACCAACTACACTTATATGACTTGGGAATCACAGTTGTTGTTTTTATGTGCATATTTCTTTTTAATTTATCATTAAAAAAAATGCAGAGTACAACACATTTCATTTTGGTTCTACTTCTTCTTAATAGCACAGGTTACAGACAGGTATTAATTTCACACCACAGAGTAGTTACAAATGGATATTTCTTTCCTTGTGGTAGGGTTTGAGGGTTTATAGCTGTTTGGTCAACAACCGGTTAGTCACCTATCCAAGTGGTCTATTTCCATTAGGTCATTAGACCAAATGATAAGTAGACGAGATGTTTATTAGACCATGTGGATACTAGACGGGCTGGGTGTTGACCATATGGTCAAGGGGAAGAATGGACCAATTGGGAAGTGGACAAACTGGTTGTAGACCAAATGGCAATTCGTCCGTCGGGTCCATGCTCCTCCCTTCCTCACCAACGTTGTAATCTATTACATGTAACTTGGAAAGTTCTTAATGAGGGATCCTTGAGGGGTTGTTCTAGAATCACCCCGAGACATCACTTGTCACAGAATTGTCAAGGTGTACCAGGGGGGCATTTCACAAAACTTGTCATTGGTGACAAATGACAATTTGTGTTATAAGCTACTGAAATACTTGCTTCTGATTGGTTATCACCAGATTTGTCACTGATTTTTTTTAAATATTTGTAATTAAAAAAAGACTTTGTGAAACGCCCCCCAGATGTAGAGTATCTACCTAAACTTCTAGAGTTCAAAGGGCAATGGTTTATGAAGAGGAGAGAAATCTAGAGAGCACTGCAACCTCTTAAAGCCCCACTGCACTACTTATAGCTACTTGCGCCCTCTATATAGCAAACAATGCCTAATTGGTGACCATTGGTCCCCCATGAACCTCTTTTTCTTATGTTAATTGATAGCTTATTTGATGGGATAATCAACTGTCAGTGACCATGTAGGGAGGTCTAATCCCTCCTGGCCAAACTAGTGCGGTGATCTTTAAATTGTAATTTGCATAAATGCTTCCTTTGGCCGACATAGTACTGACATTGCAGATATGGGAACTTACTTGGGCATCTCAAACAAGTTTGCCTTTTAAAAAAAGGTGTGTAGTGAAAGTGAATGCAAAACATGTAAATCACATTTTCTATAAACTGACAGTTATATAACATTTGGCACAACTTTTTGGCACTTGAGTTTCATGGTTTACATGTATAGTACAATAAATGGGTATAAGTGTAGTACATTAATGATATATATATATATATAAGTGAATATGAAAATAATTGCAGAGTCAGACTGTGCACTATTGATTCAATACAAAGACCTAAGGCACTAGATAATGCATTTGTCCTTCAGTGTATTCAAAACATCTAAAAGTTATGTGTTAGCTTCTTATTTTTCTAACAGGATAACATAACAATTATGTTGCAAAATTACCAAAGACATTAATGATGACAGCTGCCACAATATACAAGAAAATGTGTCTCATTTAGAGGCAGAAGGGCATTTAATCACATCATTTTCAAAGAGTACACACCTCTCTGGCTCTAAGACAAACAAATTGATGTTTGATGATGTTAGTATCAGGTTGTTAGTAAGACGGACCAATACATATCTTTCTACCCAAATCAAGAATGAAAAAAATGAAAAAACAATTAAATCTGTCAAATTAGTCACTTTTGAAGAAAGACCACCTATTTCCCTCAAGGAGGATATGTATTGAGTTCCAAAAACTGTCTAGAAAGGCCACATGACCTGTCTGCAGTGGCCAATTTTACCGTTTTCATTTGGAGGACGTTTTAGTCAGTTTTGATTGTATTTAATGTAGAATTTCTATGTAATATGAAGAAGTTAAAAGCTACACTACTTCTCCTGTCTTATTTTGATATCAAATTAATGTAACAAAGGAACAACTCTGTTGAAAAGGTGCTTTGTAGGAAGTGCTATCATTGATTGCCTAACATGGCAAAAGCTTGTGGGTGGCAAAGCTGGAAGCCTTTAAGCAGACAGGTAAATGTGAATAAGTATGAGCATTCAAGCATGAGCTAGAATTAACCTGCTTGCTTATTTATAAATTGTTTTGTGATCTCTTAAGTGAACAATATATTTAAACAGTCCAGTCCTTTATGATCATCCTTGCATTACAAAAGACAGACAAATACCTCCCATAATTCAATCACTGTCTTGACAATGCAAATGTATCCTGTAAGCCTATCAGTATCAAGGTGAGGTTCATAGTTAAAACACGAGACAGAGACAGAGAGGCAACATGGTGATCAAAGATACAATAAGCCATACTTAAAGAGAAGGTTGAGTTCTGGGAAGAGGTGAACAATAATTTGTGAGCGTTATCATTGTTTTATGCAAATGTGGAAAAACATCAGATAAAAAATGTTCCCTGAAAAGCAAGGCTCTTCAAATGCCTTAATATTCTAAATATGGCATGTAACATTATACAAATCGGGACAGATTTTCATGCCACATGTTTGTGTAGTCCCATATACATCTTTCTGTGTACAGTGCTTGTAACTTTACAAAGACTGGGCCAAATTTCTTATCACTTTGATGATTCCAGAACCTTGCAGTACACACCAATACTTATATGCTAGATGATCAACATTTTCTGATCGATTCCATAACGTTTCTTTCACAATGCAATTGCATGACCAGAACTCAACTTAAGTATACTTGTCTGTAAATACATGTACCTACCTAACAATATTGAAGTATGTGAACTACTAAGGTGAATTGGTAGGCTAACTACATACATATATCATATGTATCAATAGTTCTATCAAATGAACTCCAAGGCATACAATCTTTTTACAAGTACAATCATTGTATACTGTACAATGTGATTTCAATAGATACTGTTGTACATGTCCATGTATATAAAGCACTGTAATAGTTTTCAGATTAGCATAGTACTGAAACCAATGAACTATTGCACCTTCAGACAGGCAATATCACACTCATTCATATCTATGATTGAAGATATACAACTCTTGGTCTGGCATCCTCTTTTGTTTCTCATTTCAAATACAACAAATAGTGAACTGTACAGTGAAGCACCTGTGACATTTTAAAAGCTGTTGCTTTTTACTTTTACGTGCCATCTTAAGTATAAACCATACAAAATATGAAATACGAAATTCTGCCTTGACAGGAACTTAAAAAAACAAATATAAAAAAATAGTGAACTGTAATGCCATCGATGTGGTACATAACCTTGGAATTACAAACATTTCATAACAAAGGGGAACCATGTATGAAGTACATTGCATTTCAATTGAGGTAATAAGAGGGTAAATACTGTGGCATGGATTGCGGCTAGATGGATGATCTGTTTTCCTTCTATTCTTACAAACACAAGGAGATAGGTTAGCTCAATTGGTAGAGCATCTGCCTATCGATCCATATATTGTGAGTTCAGACCCAGCCCAGGCTTACAGGACTGAAGCTATTGTTGGGTGTCCTCGTGCCACACCTCTATCTCACAGACAAAGGCTAGGTTCCAGAGGCCCGATAAGCATGATAGTCGCTGCCTACGTATGCACATTAAGAGTCTTTGGACAAGAGTAGGCTGAACCCCAGTGTGGGGAAACACTCTCTACTCACAATCAGCGCTACCCAGAGAAGATGCTGATGGTTTTGATGAATAATTTGGCTTTTCGGCTCCCTGGTGTCGTCAAATAAAATACAGTGAAACCTATCTATAAAGACCACTCAAGGGAGACAAGAAAAGTGGTCTTTAAAGGCAGGTGGTCTTTATGTACAGGTTCCTTTAGTTGTTTCAATGAGAAACCATATTCCAAGGAAACAAAAAAAGTGGTCTTTGTAGACAGGTGGTCTTTCTATACAGGTGGTTGCTAAAGCAGGTTTGACTGTAATACTGATAATAGCCGTATGTGACTTATGCTGTGAATTCCCTACCTTGGTCTAGAATTTATAGCTTTTCTTCTGCTGTAGTCTGAGCCTGGAGGATCTCTTGAGCAAGGGTGGGTTGTCATCCTCCAGGATCTCGATCACAGCACCAGCCTCCTCAGGAAGAGCTTTCTTTCTTTGAAGACTAAGACACTTCCGCTTGTTGCTCTTGGGGCTTGAAGGCCCAGAGGATTTGTCCTGTTTAGAGCTATCCTGCGATCCATCCACAGGTACCGAGTTCTGGGAAGAGTCATTACCTCTGGATTGTTGCGAAAAATTGCTTCCCTGTGAGTTGTCTTCTTTGGTGGCGTCCTTTGTTTGGTTGGAAGATGCTGAACCTTCAGAGTTCCGGTGATTCTCAGCTGCAAGGGTTTCCTTGACGCTTTCAAGATCGTTCAGGTTTGCACTAACCTGATCCGGTATGTCCGTAACTTGTTTGACATTCTCCATAATGCCTGCACCATTTGCCTCCACGTTTTCACCAATGGTTTCACAATGTGGTGGCAAAATAAGAGCACTGGAGTCTTCCACTTTGCACATACTTGTAGTTTCAGATGCATTGGTCATTGTTACATTATAATTATTTGTTGTTGGATGGGTGGGGTCATCACGATTCACACCTGTATGATCAGCAAGTTGTTCGGGTTGAACAGGTTCTGTACATGGCACAACGTCACATTCCGTTTCATAACCACTAACCACATCTTTGCAGGCCTGAACTGTCCCCTCCACAGCCTTTTCAATACCAGAAGCTACATGCTTCTCATCTTTTAGCCCTGAAATACGATGATTATCCTTTTCTAAGCTCATATCTGTAGGAAGTGCATCCTTGTCCTTATCCAAGATGTCGTTACTCCTAGATGGACAACCCTCTTCAGCTTGACACGTGTTCATCTTCAAGGTTTGGTCTCGTGCCGCAGGTTCAGGCAAGGGCTCCGACTGGGACCAACTCATCTCCAGTTCCTTTAAACCTGATGCAGATAGACCCAAGTCATCACCAAAGTCATCCTCACATCTATCTTCATATTCCTTTATCTTATCATCAAGGTTAGATTGATTGTCAGAGGAAGATTTTACCTCTTTCTGATTTGGAGTGTCTACGTGGTTGTCTGTTTTCTGCTTTTTGTATGTGTTTTCACCTTCATCAAATCCAATATCCGACTGCTGCTTGCTCTGCTGTTCAGAGTCTTTGTCATCTTGCTCCTCCAATTCATCTCGAAGTCGCTTTCTCAGCGACTTCTCAGGGTCCGGTTTCTGCGATCCTCTGACAAGTGGCGAGGGTATCTTGAAACCGCGCTTCAGGGCAGGTGATGCTGCAGGGTACGGAAGCGGGGAGAGGGGTGGAGGCGAAGGGATACGAGACAAGAGCTGAGATCTTCTTTCTAGCTCCACATGCTGTGCCAGCACCCTTGGAGACACATCAACCCCTGATATTGCAGACACTTGAGACTGACAAGGTGTCCTAGGAGTAGGGTTAGTAGATACCCTTGATGTGCCTGGATGACTATGTGATGGGGTACTACCTGCTACCTGTATCCTAGGGTTGAGGTTCTCATCCCTGGTGGGCTGGGAGGTCTTCGGGAAGTTCTTAGGACAGGAGCGGACAGTCATCAATTGATACGGCTGACCCTGTGACGTCACTGAGGTAGGAGGGGAAGACTGAATACCAGAACGTGCCCGACTCAGCCCAGCAAGTGGAGTGGTGACCCTTTCTCTCCCAGCTGTGTATGGATGATTTCTTGGGGTGGAGCCTGGATATGCTGGCTGAGAAGGGGCATCTTTCAGTTGCTGAACTTTCCTCTGCATCAACTCCAAACACTTGGGTACATCCTGTGAAATGAAAGACAATGTAATCAAGTCAAAACAAATTTTAAATGACCCCTTGAATTCCCTGCCAAAATCAACTTGAAACCAATTTTTTCTTATCTTTCCTCTATCAAAGAAAAATTGCATTTTAATTAAAAGTTTACAATTCAAACATTCACATTTCTAAAATGTAGATACGTGCCATACTAATAGCTATAATCTAAACAAAATTGAACACCAGCAGGGGCGGATCTAGATTTGACCCAATGACAATGCCGAGAATCGTCCATGAGCCGCATAGCGGTGATGCAATTTTTTGTGGCTATTTTTAACCTCTGTAAGTGATATTTTCCTGGCATCTACTAACACATTGGGGACCATAGAAAGCAGTGCATGATAACATCTTTTAATTCAAGTAACAGATTAATACACAGTTATATCCAGAGTTATCATGTGTTGGGGGGGGGGGGGGGAGGGGGTTGACCTAATGGCGATGCGGATACTGTGTGGGTCTGGACACATGATGGCGTTTTTATATGCACATCACATTTTCACTTGGCAGCCCAAGGGGGGGGGGGGGGGGGTTAAACCTCCTGAAATATAGTACAGTCAAACCTGTCTATAGCGACCGCCCAAGAGAAACACATAAAGTGATGTTTGTAGACAGGTTCTTTTAGTACATGTTTTGATGAGGAACCATTTTCAAGGGAAACAAAAGATGTGGTCTTTGTAGACAGGTTCCTGTAGTACATGTTTCAATGAGGAACAATTTTCAAGGGAAACAAAAGATGTGGTCTTTGTAGACAGGTTCCTTTAGTTTAACAGTACATGTTTCAATGAGAAACCATCTTCAAGGGAAACAAAAAATGTGGTCTTTGATGACAGGTTGTCTTTTTAGACAGGTTCCTTTAGTACATGTTTCAATGAGGAACCATTTTCAAGGGAAACAAAAGATGTGGTGTTTGTAGACCGGTGGTCACTAAAGCAGGTTTGACTGTATTTGTATAATAGCTCAGGGGGGGGGGGGGGGTTCACAATACTTATCATCAGTGACAAATGACAGTTTTTGTTATAAGCTACTGAAATCCTTGCTTCTGATTGATTATCAGCAGATTTGTCACTGATTTTAGTCATTTGTCATTGAAAAAGGGCTTTGTGAAACGGGTCCCAGGCATGAAGCAAATAGCCCACCTTGATCGCCCCTCTGAGCTGACTGAGGGCCGCCTGCAGGTAGCCTGCCTTGGGGTTGGGGGTGAAGACGGTGTAGTCCGATGCCGTAGCGGTAGGGAGAGCCACCGCTGACAGGGTGCTGGAGAGTGAGCGGTACTGGAGGTTGCTGACCGAGATGAAGGAGCCTGGCTTGAGCATGTCATCCAGGTTGAGAGCCTTTAAAGATAAAAGTTTCATTGATTTTAAAAACTCAGTTTATTGTCATTATTACAAAGGTGAAACTTTGATTGGACAAGGTTACTAACATTCAATGCTTGGAAACATTCAAAGTAATGATTATCAATTACAAAACATTTAATTATAGCTTCGAACGCTGCTGAGATGTGTAACGTCACATGTTGAACATGATTTGCACAAGCAGGCGATGTCTCATGACATCTCACACATTTTCAGTGCCTGTTTTGTCATCTTCCCTTCAGTTATTTGTCTTACTTCACTACCGTCAGGCTAAATGTTTAATCTAGTGCCTCACTCTTAACCTCGCGCATGGTATTAATTTGATGAAAAATGCAGTGATAAAAACTTAAGGAATCAGGGTTCATACTGTGACATCATTAAAACATTCTTATGTTCTTGCGAATCTCTTGTATATTCCAGATGCAATGGACGTGGTTTTATTTGTATTTTTATAAATCACCCGTTGATACACATTATATAATCTAAAATGATAAATGACAAGACACCAGCTATTCTAATCTTAAATGCAATATCAAACGAATGAGAAAAAGCAAAATGATGTATATTCATGACTCAGAACATGAATTCCAACATGCGAAAGGAATGAAAAAAAAAACAGTCATTTGTCCTGAACTTGTACAAACCTCCGACAGTTGCTGCAGGGGAGCTATCAACGAGGTCAGAGATCAGAGCTTAGCAATCAAGTAAATTTGACATTCCCTACATAATTTACATTACAATTACCTGTAGGCCTTTAAAAAAGATGTTGTATTGCCCTTTAGGTGAGAATTTAGGTCAGAAATCTTTCTTCTTTTTTTTTGCTCCCTCTTTGGGCTGATATTTTTCAGTTTTGAATGCTCCAGTACATTTATTTTCTAAAAAACAGTAACAAAAAAAAACTTTTTTAGAAAGCCGACCGTAGATTTCAAAGATTTTTGGGTCGGTCGCATAGGGAAATACAACATCTTTTCTTTTTAGGCCTTATTGGAAATCAATGATGAAGCGTGAAAATATCCTGCACATGCATCTTTTGATACAAGCAGAACCATACAAGATAACCTTATTATTCTTCAGACTAGAACATTAATTGGAGGCTCTGTAGGTAGGAGGGTCATGACCTATGTATGTTAGAATGCTACACTTTTCGCAAAGTGTAGAACTGGGGGTGTTTCACAAAGACTAAGATCGACTTTAAGATGGAATTAACTATGGCAGGCCATTCATGCCACTGGTTCCTCTCACCATTGGTCTCTCAATTATGATCTTAAGATAATATTCAGTTATAAACTGTAACAAAATGTAAATTATGTAGATTTGTAACCATGATTTGTACGTTCCTTGAGGGACTAATACCAGTAAACGGTGAGAGAAAACAGTGGCATGAATGGCCTGCCATAGTTAAGTCCAACTTAAAGTCAATCTTAGTCTTTGTGAAACACTCCCCTGGTATTTAGTGGTCTGCATACAAAAACTACAGATCTTGCTGATAGGCTGCATAGCCCTTTGAAGATTATCAGAACAAGAAGAACTTACTGAAGGGCTAGTCCAGAATTTGATGACCATGACAGCGGCATCTTGATCAGCTAGGTAAACTGCATGATATTGTGAGCTTCCTGGATGCGACCTGCTGAGGAAGGAGGAAGGAGGAAGAATTTTTTCTTTAAAGTTTGTTTTCCTCTTTCATATGCAAACAAAGTTCATCTTTATATTAAACATTGCTTCATGAACAGCTTCAAAAGATAATTGAATAATAAAACAACTGCTGCTTAAAACGGTTCTGAATTTCCCATCGCTACCACAATTCTTTGGTTCGAGGACAATAACCCATTATGTAACGTGTTAGCTGCCATACAAGAATTGTTTATTATTATTTCCAATCATTAAAACAACTAGCTCGATTTTTTAATCTTCACTTGCTCATATTGGCTAGTATTCATTTGTGTGGATTGGATTGGATTAGTCAGTGTAGATGAAATTAAATGCATCCTTCTCAGTCTCGATTGCGCACAAATCTATTTCAAAATGGGAGGGGGGGGGGGGTAGAAGCTTCAAACAAAAAAGATAATCAACCTTTATCTACAGGTACAGTTTTGTGGTGCCTTTTCTTCTCAGTATTCTGCATCATGTGTATGTGTTTTTTTTTATTGGGGGGGGGGGGGAGGGATGAACTAGGTTACTGATATATGATCATTTTGCAAAAGAGTATTTTTTTTATTGTGCCACCTCTATTATTGCTGTGTTATATCTTTCTAAATGTACTATGGAATTATATTTCAACTGTTCTGTATAAGCGTTATGCTTTTTGATGTTAATATGTTCATAATTAATCAGGGCCCTATGGAAGACCACTACTTATTGGTGAATGAGCTACCCTGACAAAAGATAAAAAATAAATAAATTAATTAATTAATTAAAAAAAACTCACCTGGGTTCATCCAATGATACCACTATCCCTACAGCATCCAGCTCACCGTACGCTGCCTGTGTGTAGCCTCTCCCCAGCCACTGCATCGAGGCAGCTGCCCTTGGTATGTAGCTTCTCTGCAGTTTGAGGCTGGCAGCAGGGAGTTCCTCGTATCGGGTGGCTCTGGTGGAGGCTAGCTGAACAGGACACATCCCAGGCATATTCCTGTGTGTGTGTGGAAAAAGAGTTCCATCTTTTAAAATGATTTAGAAATAATGTGATTCAATTATTATTTATTATTTAGCTTTTATATAGCGCTTAATACAATGTCTCTAAGCGCTTTACAAATATACTATTATACTATATACTACATGTATTCAATCTTGTAAAAGGGTAAGAGCGTGTAAAATTTGTTAATTAATGAAAATTGAAACATTTCCAGTGGTGTATGATATGATTAGTCATTTAAGAAGTTTAGAATCTAGTTCCTAATTACAGATTGTTTATTGAAATATGAAGATTCCCCATCCTTGCACACAGACTTTATTCCTGTTTATTAATTACTACTCAAATCATTCAAGTTACACAATGATATCACTGATAGACTACATATAATACATTCAATTCTAATACATAGCATAATGACATTATAACAAATATCAAAAGTGTCCTTCATAGCTATCATTCTAATGCCACAGAAGACTTGACAGTATGAAGAATCAAATCTTACAACATTCCTTGACTTTTCACCAAGTATAAGGCAATTACCTTCCTGCTGAAGTAGCTACGGATGATATTCGAAACCTTTTCCCTTCAACAAGCTCGGTCACAAGATCATCTGGAGGTCGCCATAGTGTCAGGAAAGTTGTCTGCTGCCCCTTGCTGGTGGAAGCATTATAGTCTCCTACACGAACCTTCATGAGAGGGACTACTGTTCTTTCAAACTTGCCCTAAGATAAAGAGATGGAGACAAGAGAGAGGGAGAGTGAAAGTGAAAGAGAAAGAGAGAGAGGGAAAGAGCGAGTGAGAGAGAGAGAGGGAGAGCGAGCCAGAGGAGATAAAGAAGGGAAAAAATGAAAAAGGGGAGAGAGAGCAAGAGAGACAGTGAGAGAAGGGAGACAGATGGGAGAGGGAAAGAGTGGGAGAGAGGAGAGAGAGAGAGACAGAGACAGAGGGAGGGAAGTAAAGGAAGATGGGGAAAAAAGAGAGTGTGAGAGAGTAAAAGCAAGATGCTGCTTGATTCTTGTTTATGCTAACCATGCTGGGATTTCATTTGGAGTAGAGGGTTTCAGTGTTTTTGTAATTTATATTGTTGCAGGACTCATTTAGAAGCACAATGAATAATATCTAATGCTTAGAAAAGGAAAATAAACTTATATTTCACATAGACTGAGATCGATTTTAAATTGGACCTTACTATGGCCAGCCGTTCATGCCACTGTTTGCTCTCTCCATTTACTGGCATTGGTCTCTCAAGGGACGTACAAATCGTGGTCACAAATCTACAAATTTACGGTTTTTATAATTCATTATTGAAGGAAGAAATAAGATGTAAAAATTCTAACGGTGAGAGCAAATGGTGGCATGAACGGCCTGTCATAGTTAAGACCAACTTAAAGTCGAACCTAGTCTTTGTGAAACACTTGGGTTAATGTGTAGTATACCTCTTTATTTTGCTGAGCAAGAGATCGATTAAAAGCAGCTTGCAGGTCGGCTTGTTTCACCTCATTCTGTAGTCTTCTGTAGGCATGGAGGGTGGAACACTGACGCTCACTCAGAACAGACTACAAACACAGGGAGAAAGAAAAACATTCATCAGTGGAATTAAATGTACTCCACACATGGAAAGTAATGTATGGTTTGGCTCCACAGTACTTGCGGAATCTCATCACAGAATATATCCCAGGCAGAAATCTCCGCTCTTCTGGTACTAAACAGTTAACAGTCCAAAGAACTATGTCTACTCTGGGAGAAAAAGTTTATTTCGGTGGCACCATCTCATTGGAATGCTCTTCCACTGAGGATCCAATCACTAGAATCTCTAGAAACATTTAAAAAGAATCTAAAGTCATATATGTTCACATGTTATTTTAGTTAATTATATGTTTAATGTACATCTATGCATTTTTGTTGTCCTTATTTCCCTATGTAACTCTTCTAATTCTATCCCTCTGCGCCTCAGAATAGTTTACTAGATTGATGGCGCATAACAAATACTGTATTTTTATTATTATTATATTACTAATGAAGGTACTAATGAATGTTCTATCAAATGTAACATTGAAAGTACTATTAAAGAGAATCTGAAAACCAACTTGTTTCATCTAAATTTTGTGATCTCTGAAAGCATGAAGGATAGATCGTTTATGCTCATAAAAAATGGTCTACAAAGAAATATTCAAGCATTTGAATTACTGTTTAAATACTATTAAAGGTCCTGTGAAACATACTATCAAATGTACTATCGAAAGTACTATTAAGGAGCATCTGCATATCAGCCTGTTTCATCTAATTCTTGTGATCTCTGATAAGCATGAAGAGCAGATCGTTGATGATCACTCAGAATAGTCTAAAACACAGCGAGAAACATTCAGCGAGTTCAATTGAAAATACCATTAAAGGAACACTATACTATTAAAGGAACTTTTAAATGTAAGTCTACATATAAGCTTGTTTTATGTAACTTTGTGAACTCTGATAGGCGTGCAAACACAGAAAGCAAAAACATTCAATCAGTTGAATTCACTGAAATAAACAATATCTGCTTTTAAAAATGTTGATAGAAAATACATACCGGTAATACCAAAACTCTCTGCTAGCTTTAAAGTTTCCCTCTATATATGTTTACCATAAACATCCCTTCAAAATATCATTAGTTTGATTACCAATGCATTTTCTTGTCAACAATCAGTTATAATCCGAGGGCATGATTTGAAGGATTATCTTTTACCATAAATAGAAGTCACAAGTAACTTATTTATGCCATGCATATTGGATTGTTACACGGAGGTTGCTGTCAATTAAATACGAAAACATGAGCCAGACATGCTAATGACTCTAAGGTTTCATGAAGATCATGAATCATCCAGTACCATAACAATTAATTCTCCCGTGACTGATTTTCCTGCTAAAGGCCTCTATGAATATGCAGACTTGCCAAGTTTTCCAAACTGTAATGTGGGACAACTGTAATCAAGAGTCCATTAGAGAGAAGCAGAGCGTATAAAGGGGGTCCAAAGGGCAGGGCCCCTGGAAGCTCATGGGTTTTGGCGCTTTCAGGCATGTAAGAAAGGGTATCCAGAGGCCTAAAAAATACCTGTTTTTAATGCTTTAGGTTACAAAAACTGGGCATTATTTGATTGACTGATTAATGACTATAGAAAAAGATCAGATTTCATTTTTAAAAATATTTCAAAAAATAAAGAAAGCGGGACATCCCGCATTTTCTGGATTTTTTCCCCCTCCAGGGATCCCCATTGGTTTACGTGTAAAAAGTTTCTTGTGCGAGCGCGTATACCAAACAGTGCTTTTTGTCTGCGATTCCGGAATGATCGCTACATTCAGGCAACTTTCCAGCAAAGATTTACAGACAGTGTCTTAGATTTGCTGTGATGTTTTAACCAGCCTTTACTCAAGAAAAAGATAACATAAGAATTCTTTGTAGATTTGTTTGTGAATTTGCTTCAATTCTGTATATAAAAGATATATGGACTGCTTTAATATACGAAGCATGGCTGTTTCTATACTGGCTCTCCCGGCTCGCCTCAGTTTTATAGCAGGATTTATAAGATGACGATGTGGATCCTATTCAAATGATTGGCTGACAGTGTACACGTGACTAGGCATTTATTTTGCCTAACACTTAATGTTGATAATGACCAGTCATTAGTAAAATCAAGTCATAAAACAAATAAAACATAATCTTATAAAACCTTCAAAACAGTCCAAACACCCTCGGCTATTGCCTCGGGCGTGTCAGACTGTTCCAAAGGTACTTTGTGTGGATAATTCTTACTGCCGTCACTGCTGTGTATAATTTGTATAGTAACGCCCCCTTGAGCCTATAGAAACAGAGATGGCTTTCATAGCAGTCAATATATCTATACTATTCTGCTCATCATCCTTGGCTTTATATAATCATGCTTTGTTTTAGATAATCATAATTAGTGCTGGGATTTTTTTTGTATTGAATACAAATGCAAGAAACCCCTGACTTACCTCAAACGCAGCAGGATCAATAGCGGCTTCCATAGCTTCAAACAGTTCTTCACCCGACTGTAGTTTCTCGACTTCCACAGGATTCCTGCTCCTGGACGAGGGCAAAGATCGTCTCCTTTTACCTCCTTGACCTGCATTGATGTAAGAAGACGAATAATGTTCTTACTGCTTTTCCTTTTAAACTGCATATGCCATGAAAGACTATTAATAGACAATGTGAATCTATTGTAAAAACTATAAAACCATATTAACAACACACTGTACTGTTTGTAGACGAGTAGGGGGGCACCCAGTGTACTAGTACTTGCAAACCCCCAATCAGTTGTAATGGGAGGAGAGACCTGAGGGTTACAGTGATTCAGCTTTTCGCCTCCCAGGCACAGGTGACGCCAAAAACAGAATAATAATAATTAATAATATTGTCTTTTGGCAAATTTAGCAAATGGCCCCCGATTTCATAATTTCTATGTTGCAATAAAGTTTTTCGAAAATCTAACTTGTACACCGAAGACAGATTAAGATGAATCCCAATCCTTAATTTTGCATGAAGCAGAAGCCTGTACTGTCAAAATAACCATCATTAAGATAATATCATACATTCTCAGGAAGACATTCAGAGCATACTGATCGAAACGTTGAAAACAACGACCTCTCCGCAGAGCTCATCAGCCCTTTTCATGGCTCTTATTCCTTTGAAAGAGTTACATTGGTATACCCTGACAACTTTCTCTACCATTCAATATCATACGGCACATATCTGGGCCTTGTCTTTAAGAAGTTGCGAATGATTCAAATCACTCACAACTTGAAATTAATCGCAACTCTTATCTCTCAGGTACACAGTTGAGATCATTTCAAGTTGCGATTGATTTGGGCAAGTCCTCCAATCAATTACAAGTTTACAATTTTCTACCTCCTATGTACAGTTGCGATTGATATCAATTGCAAATAAATCGCGATTAATATCAACTCTTAATAAGATGGGGCCCTGAGCCATTTATACAAAGTTGCAATCGATTTGAATCAATCGCAACTTGAAATTAATCACAACTCTTATCTCTTGAGTACACAGTTGTGAGAAATTTCAAGTTGCGATTGATCTGACTCAATCACAAGTTTGCAGTCTCCTATCTCTTAAGTACACAGTTGCAAATTATTTCAAGTTGCAATTGGTTGGAATCAATCGCAACTGTATGTGAGACAGTGCCATGGTCTACCGTAAAGCAAGAGAATCTCGATATCAAAAAAGTTGAATACCTTTAGTAGCCTGCTTTGCTTCAAACTGCTTTTGGATCTGTGTGAAGAGCTGCTCCATTTTGTTCTGTTTCCGACTAGCGTGCAGAGCAGCTGCCTTCGCCTCTTCCTTGGCATTGCGGAACACACTGCCCCCCTCGGGAAGCTTTTCCATAAACTAAACAGGAGAGGACATTGTATCTACAGTTAATGACTGAATTAGTCGTACCCCTGGTAAATTTGATGGTTTTTGTGGTGTTTTTATTTTGTAACTTTAGAATGTTAGGTTGATTGTTGAATTAGGGCCAATGTTGAGTGTTTTTAGATGGAAGCTTTATTGAATATATCACATTCTCTAGAAACATAAATCGGGACAAATCAACTTTTCACATACTATCCGTTTGTCACATCTACTTATCACGTGTATAAGTTTTAAACATAAACGTCATATTAACACATATACGTATTTATATGCCAGCAACATCAACTTGAAAAACAAATGCTAAGTGTAAATAAGTTTAAGCTTATGTTTTCAAACAAATTATTTGTACAAGTTTATTATTTCATGTTGACAAAAAAATAAGTGTATCGAAATTGAATTGAAATGAATATACACATTCATCAAACTGTCACAGGGGGGTGTTTAACAAAGATCCTAAGTCAAACTTAACTCTTAGTTTGACCTTAAGTTATGGAGAGCCATTTGTAGCCTTAAAATAAAATATATTCAAAAGCGAAAATTCAAGTATTTTAGACTTTTCATAAATTCCACATCAAGAACATGAAATCTCCTTGATAATAGAAAATATGAATGATTTGAATAAACATGTTATGCCTTTTAAAGATGCTAACGGCTTTCCATAGTTTTTAAGTCCAACTTAGAGTTAAGTTCGACTTAGGATCTTTGTTAAATATCCCCCAGGTCATGCATGTAGGAGCTTACCTGCATGGGGTATGTCCGGAGGATGAGAACATCCAAACACCCTATAGTACCACCCTCTGGATGCAGAGAGGTCATAGGGAGGGGGAAAGGTCGGGGGTCAGCCTGGAGACCCAGCCTGGCATCATAGCGGGCACGCCGGGTGGAGTTAGCTGTTATCTTCAATTTCAGACCCTCAGGAATCTGTGATTGAACAAACGACATGCACATGTTTTCAATAGTATGAAATTTTAAATGCCTAGCTACATGCTAATTTATTTTCAATTTCTGACCTCAAAAATTGTTACTCTTATATTTTGTCAAATCCATGGGATACAAACATTTACAGGGAATAAATTAACCCTGATGGAAGGTGAGGCTGAGTACAGAGTTCTAACTCTGTTGGAACCCATTTAACATGCTTATGATATGAAAATGAAACTATGTACCAAGGGTTATGGCCAGGATGGTTTAGACCTCCATGCGTGGTCACTGGTAGGTGGTTATCTCATCAAATCAGCTCTCAATTAACATAAGAAAAAGGGTACCATGGGGGACCAACGGGTACCTCTTAGGCATTGTTTGCTATAAAGAGGGTGCAAGTAACTACAATTAGTGCAGTTCCGCTTTAAACCAAGTACCGGTACACATGTAGTGATATGAGCTCATTTTGACAAATAGTAATGACATTTCCCCCAAAATATTGACTCTTCAGGAGATATGAATGCAAAAGATGTTATATTCATGATTTTCTGTCTAGAAGGCATTTTAGTTCTTATCTTATTTTGAATATTTATTTAATTTTTATTTATATATTTTTTGTTAAATTATATTTCTATTGTAATTTATTTTATATTTTCAGTGGGGACTTGCTAATTGTAAAATAACTTCTATCTTCCTACGACACCAACCTCTAAAGGAGAGCACGCATCTTGTGCTCCAACCAGTTCTGCTCCAGATATGCACAGCTTGGTACCACAAACAATCCTGCCAGACCTGACATGGTTTGCAAGGGGTGGGTCAATGGCAGCTGGGATGCTGTACCAGCCATCGGTCAGCTCTAGTGTAGGGTGGGATACGGCTTGCAAACTCTACAGGGAGACAGAGAGGAAAACAAGAATCCATTGATAAATACCAAATCCCAAGGGTTAATTTCCATATGTCCCCATATGTAGCAATAAACAAACTTGCAAAAGTGACTTGGTAACATTGCCTCAGATTCTGAAACAAATTCCTGGATTTAGCTCATGCTGCAATCATAATTATAAATCTTTAGGTCAGTCAGGAATCCAATGACTTTTACATGTCGATCACCTGTCTGATTATCAAGATATTTATGATTGGAAATCAAAATTTAATTTTTCGTTTTCCTAACGGTTTTTGTTACATTACAGTCTATTGGGGGAAATGAGTATGGTAAAACTGGTCACTCAAAGATGTTTACTTTTTTGAGGCACTTCAAGATCATTTTGAAGCGCAATTTTTTTTTTTAGGGCTTCAATATTACACCATATCACAGAAACTGTTAAACAATGCCTTTAACAATCTATTAATCATCGAAAACATCAGGCTAAATTCTAAGCCCCACCTTTCGTTGTTCTGCACCCTTTCCGTCATGTCCTGCTGAAGATCCTGGGTTCCCAATAGCTGCTACACAGAGGACCATTCTCCTAGACGCTGCGTCATCTCTCTCAAGGATCTTCCTCAGGGCGGGGCGTTGACTGTGGTCTATCTCTCTGTCGTAGCGGTACTTCAACTGAAGCAGGACCCAGTTCGGTGTCAAGAATCTGAAACAAATACACAGAAATATGGATGGAGAGGGCCAGTAAAATGTCAGAAAAATGGTTTACTGGTAAGAAGGGCAATTAAAGTGTTTGCTCTATCATTATACAAATGATGCATGCGCATGAGTTCATTATACGATCTATCCGCACTCGAGTTGAGGCTGTGTGTATATATTGCACGAAGCCGTTAGGCTGAGTGCGATAGATACTCACATCTTCAACGAGGGCGGATAGATCGTATAATGAACGAATGAAAACATGCATCATTTGTTTTATACAACGAAACTCCTAGATCATTGTTATTTGATGTAAAACGAATTCATTCAAGATTGTTTTATGACAGTATGGCTGACAAATAAACACACATAGCTAAAGATATAGCAAGCGCACTAATTACCTCTACCCATTTATGCATAGTGCTGCGCAAGAATAGGCTCATGCTCACGCAGTATTACGCGCTCTAACCTCTACGTGAACTACTGCGCTCTGAAAACGAGTTCAATAGTACTGGAAAATATTGCACTTATTTCATGAAAACGAGTGCAATAGGCTCAGTAAATGAATCACACATGACCGCGCATGACCAATCATTTGATTAGGATCTGGGAGTGAGTTGTATAATAACATTTAATGAGAATATTGTAAATCAAAGATTTTGTCAGGGTTGCCTTGGGTTAACTTGTAAATGTTTCTATGCGATTCTGCGGTTTATATTATTTGTTTGTTTTTTGTTTTGTTTTTTGTTGCAAGATGAAAAGTCATATTTTCGAGAGGCGATACAGTATTTCACATTTTTTATTGTACTAAATACGATAAAATCGTACAGGTTGGCATCTCTGTACTTCCATTAGACCAAGAGTCTTTGGGAACCAGGTTGAAGATGATTCCTAATCATATGTTCCTGTTTTGATTTGTAAAATTTTTACTGCAATGCATGCATTCTTTCGTGCCAGGGAGCTCTGCTAAATTGATATGCTGAAGGATAAGAGGGTTCACAGTTTACTTGAAGATGGTCATTTACTAATTTGCAATTAAAGATGCCACAATTTGTTGAATTTAAAACTTGTGTCATCAGTTTCACAATAATGATAGTTTTGTTGTTATCTTTTTCATTCATGGTGGTAGAATCAATTTCCAATACATGTCTCATCTTATCAAGCCATGTGTAAAACTCCAGTTTGTAGGTGACATAATACTATTTAGAAGACACATACAATAACTCATTGCCTGGCAATTTTGAGGTACAATGAAGAGAGGGAGAGAGAGAGGGAGAGAGAAAGATAGAGAGAAGAGAAGGTAGGGGAGAGGGAGGGAGAGAGAGATAGAGATAGAGAGAGAGAGAGCGCGAGAGAGAGAGGAAGAGAGTGTGTATACAAAGAAAAGAATAGATTTGTACATGAAATATATGTACCAACACATTACAGACAAAAAATATGTTCAGAGCAAAGCCCTTATCGCACATGTTTGTGGAAGAGAAAGAATACCCAATAACCAAATTACCTTAAATCCCATCTTCTGCAGTCTCACTTCAAATAAACTGCTAAATTCAACGTTTTAATTTTCTCTTTTTCTTTTTTTCCTTCAATTCTATCCGATATCTCCCAGTTCTTACCTTCCACCAAGCTGGAGAGGGTACGCAACTTCCATGGTAGCTGCTTTCCAGATGATCCACTTGTAGTGGTTAAACACCCATTCTTCCTTCAGCAGTTTGGGGTCTACACCTGGGGTGTCGAGCAGAGCACTGCCAAGACACAGACAGAATAGTGTTTTATAAAACCTTCAACATCCTAGCACTACACCTTAGGTGTAAATTGGAGCACTATGTGCACACTCTCTCTACTTTCAAAATTAGGCTTAAAACTCACCTGATGCTCAATGCATATTGTTAAATTTCAATGTTCTTTTTATACAATGCATGCAAAACAAACAATCGCACTGTGCCACATTGTATGTACCTTGGCACCATGAAGTTGTATGATCTAATGCAAGTTAACATTTAATATTTCTTTAATCTTAAGTATGTTGAATATTAATTTAAATTATTTGTATGCGCCTTGAGCATCTCTAGAGATGGATATGTTGCGCTTTATAAATATTGTTATTATTATTATTATTATATATTACAAACGTGGGAACATGTTTTTTTTTTAAACTGCAACAGCCTTGCATTTGTGCCTTCTTTTTTTAAAAGAGCACTTTCAAAAATAGAGATCCCAAATTAGAAAACAGCAGCCTATTTCAACTTGCTTGATAAACTGAATTAATTGTATACATATTATATACCGAGTAATATGATATCTACATCTCATGTATCCATACACGCACCTCAAAAACAGACCTTATTATACATCACAATAAAATCAGATACATAGCGTTTCACTTTAATGTATTCAATTTATCAAGAAAGGTTCCTAATATAAAAACAATATTTTCATTTCTGAATGAAGGGTCGTTTAAAGATGAAGTTGAGTTCTGGTCATGCGATTGCATTGTGAAAGAAACGGTGTGGAATTGACTAAAAAGGTTGATCATCTAGCATATAAGAATTTGTGTGTATTGCAAGGTTCTAGAATCATCAAAATGATAAGAAATTTGGCCAAGTCTTGGTAAAGTTACAAACACTGTACACAGAAAGATGTATATGGGACTACACGAACACGTGGTGTAAAAATCCTACCCCCGAGTTTTACGATGTTACTGAAATATTTCGAATATAAAGGCATTTGAAGAGCCATGTTTTTCAGGGAACATGTCTTATCTGATGATCTTCCACACTTGCATAATAAGAATTATTACGCTCACAAATTATTTTTCACCTCTTCCCAGAACTCAACCTTCTCTTTAATATGTACAGTGCACAACAAACCAAAATGGACCAATGCTGGAAGAAAGACTAAAATGTGATTTTTACAAGAAAAATGTTTGTTTTCTCAGTTGTCTTGCTACCAAATTGGTTTCTTTGTGTTGATTACATTCCTTGCAACTTTAATAATAATAACAATAATAACTAGAAATATCGCAATCTGTATTGCCGCGCAATGCGAATGTATCCCCCGGCAGTGGCAGCGATTTTGTGTTATCCTTATGTGGAAGGAGGGACAAAGATTCCCTCTCCTCTTTGTGAAACAAAAGGATGCGTAGAGATTGCCGCAAGTGGCTCAGACTATTGTCAAGACTAGGAGCAGCATCATCAAAATAATAGGTGTGTAGATCAGATTATGATGCATATTTATAGAAAATTTGAAAGAAATGTGATTTGCATAGCGACACAAGATATTCCTTTAAATATGACCTTTGACCCTATAAGAGATGGAATACTGGGGGGTAGCAGCACCAAATTTGTGGAGGTCTAGAGTAAACTATAATGAACCTTAATACAAGCAGCATCACTAAAATCTATAGGCTTGTAGATTATACCAAGATACACCTTTGTTCAAAATTTGAACAAAATCCCTTTAGAAATGTGGCCTATAGAGCGCACACAAACAAAAATATGGCCTTGTACCCTAAAGAAGGCGGAACACTGGGGGCAGCATCACCAAAAGTTATAGGTATGTAGATTATACCAGGATACACCTCCATACAAAATTTGAAAGAAATCCGTCAAGAAATGTGGCAGTTAGAGCGCACACTAGAGTGCACACAAGACATCTATCAAAATATGACCTTTGACCCTATAAAAGACGGAAAATTGGAGGCAGCATCACTAAAATCTATAGGCTTATAGATTATACCAAGGTACACCTTCGTTCAAAATTTGAACAAAATCCCTTTAAAAATGTGGCCTATAGAGCGCACACAAACCATCCACAGAAATATGGCCTTGTACCCTATAGAAGACGGAACACTGGGGGCAGCATCACCAAAAGTTATAGGTATGTAGATTATACCAGGATACACCTCCATACAAAATTTGAAAGAAATCCATCAAGAAATGTGGCAGTGAGAGCGCACACAAGAATATGACGCGGCGGCGGCGGATGCGGCGGCGGCGGCGTAACGCTGCTGAATCCAAAGTACCCCACCGGCATACAATAATACATTTATAGAGCACAGAAACTATCCAACATTAAGTATATATTCTATTATAAAATGGCTCTAGTATTTTAAGCATCGTGATTGGTCAATACGCGTCACATGGCATTGACAAATTTTTGATGCAAGCACGATTTTGCAGAAATGAGTGCAGAAAAAGCGCAGTAAAAAGTTATATTGCACGGCGCGTACGTGACCATGGAGATCCAGTGCGCGCGCGTACGCGTAGTACTAGTACGCTCCCTCGAGTGCATTGTAGGCTATAGGCTACGCGCGTAGCTAATATTGTACGCTCCACCATGATCCCCAGCGCAGCGTACGCGTAGCTTAGCTCTAGCTAGAGCGGGGTATTATTAGAAAGCAAATTTTTGTTTTACTTTTGCCTTGGATTTAGACCCGTTTTGACTTTTGGATTTTATAATGAATCCAGGAATTTCAGCTGTCTGATGTACGTAGACTCGTCTCTAGACACCCTATGCATTTTATTTTTAATCAAACAATGAATCCCGTGGACTTTTTGGTAAGCCTGCAAGGTCTTAGACCCTCATTTTATTTCTAGAACCAACATAACTCTAACAGTTAGATCTAGATCGAACTCTCGTATTACTATTATAAAAGATCTAAACTTTTGTTTGTTGCTGTTTGTGTCGCTATTTTATAAAACAAATAACGCACTTGACCCTGTTGTGCGAAACGTAAATGCAGTGTTTGCTCGGTTTCTTCAGATGGTTCGCACTGTCAACTCGCCGCAAGCGGCTCGTTGCACAGAGCGGCACCAATCTAAAGAAACCTCGCGCGTACTGCATTCACCGCTATTGCACTCTGGGACGTGCGTTATTTGTATACTGCGCTACAACAAAGAATGTTTATATATGTACAACTTCTTGATGCGCATATTACAAAATCCAATGCTGCAAAATGATGTCAACAAATCTGAACCAAAGCCCAACACTTACCTGTGGAATTCCTTCTTTCCGGCGAGGCCATTGGGACTGAGCACCAGTCTACCCGCATCGTCCAGGGGAATCCCCTTATCACTCTCCAGACATGATGGACTGAAGTGGTCCTCTCCTGCAAACTCGTACCCTTCCGCATTGCTGGGCCTAACAGATAACGTGCTGGACAGGATTCCATGACCAAACAACTGATGGTAAAGAGAAAAAGCAGATTGTGAGATATGCGATTTGGGGAAAACTGCTCTGCCATCCATTTCTAGTGACCCAACATTTTCTCCAGTGAGAATAGACCATTTTTGCAATGTAATCAACTTTAATGATGTTAAGTGCCTCTTTACAAAATATTGCATTTAACTATTACTAATACTTGTATTTCAATTGTAAGAATGTAAATTGCATACCTCAATGTGTTGTTAGGTTGGACAAACCAGCAACATTTACTCTATGTAATTCGCATTATGACTATTGGTGTACAATTATTTGTAACAGGTGAATTAAATAATTTGTAGAGATTAGTGCATTTAATTTGAATGGTCTCTTGCTCCAGGCTTTATTTTGTAAAAGATGTAGGGTTGGGTGGGTTGCAATTGGGTTTTAGGTTTAGGGTTAAGGTTTAAATAGGATTAGGTAGACTGTTGGTCCAGGGTTGACGTTTATAACTCACCTAGTGCAAGAAAATTAACAGCAGAGCAATCGTCGCCGAAGTATATGTCATGCAACCAAATTTCTTGAACTATATGTAGTTGAATTTATATATTTAACAACAATCATGTGGACAAAATACTATATCTAGCCTGAACTTTAACCGTAAATGTAACCTGAAACCATATCACAACCCAAGCCCATCCCTATAATTTATGTAGAAATAAAGCTCTGAGCAAATTTTTTTAAGAGACAAAGGAACATATGGATCTTTTGCTGATAGACCACTCATGTGATTTTTGGTGTATAGTCATGTAGAATAAAATAAATATATTTGATTAATTTATCTCAAATCATCCAATTTGAATCCTGATATTCCGGGGAAAAATCAGAAAAGTCATCAACACTGTAGTCAAAGTGCTGATCTTTAAAGTCGCTGCGAAATAAAAGATTTTAAAGTCTGAGCTATGCATGGAAAGGGAGTTCAGGATCTTTAAAATTAAGAGTCAGTGGAAAAAGAAGCAAACACCATCCTAACCATATTTTCAAGAAACCACATACTGGTATTCATTTTTAAAAAATCCTGATTTCAAAAGGGATATCATATTGACTTACACATGTGGATTTCTAAAGGGTACAGATAACTTACATGAAATTAAATGCATCAGCTTTCTGACCCCCTGATATTGAACAAATCTTAATAATATTACAACCCCCAGGCTTGATCAGGACTTCACAGAAAATTAAAAAAGATACATATATCAATCAAACTAATTAGTATCGCTCGCTGCTAATTTGTTCGGCAGAATTTTTTTTTTTTTATCAACTGAAGCCCTAAGGCACTGAAACACGGCAACAAAATTTTTACTTCGTACTAGCTAATTTCATAGAAGGCTAACAATAATTTTTCCAACAAAGAAATACATAATTGGCGTTCTTTCTTTGTAGCTTCTAATTGTGATGAATGAAATCTCATTAATAGCCTTCAAAACAACAATGTTAATAGGAGAAATTTTAATTTCAATTTGATCACAAACATCACAAACATCGCAAACGCCCAGAGAAAAATGATCTTTGTAACACGTTTGCTGGCTACGAAGATGATCTGGATGCAATCCCGTCTCTAACAAAAAAGTTGCATTATTCTGAAGGGGAGAAACATTTAAGGACCCAGGGCCAGCATTCAATTTAATACTCGTCTCCGAGAAATGAGCCTTTTACTCAGTTTTGGCGTACTGGTAAACAAAATAAGTAACTAATTTTAGTATTCAGTTTAATCTTTTGTCTATTAAAGGTACGTTACTAAAAGTTTAGTACCTTATCTAAGCCAAATACTAAGTAAAAAGCTTAAATGTTGTACTTAAAGGCCTACTGCACTACTTGTAGCTACTTGCGACCTCTATATAACAAACATATCTAATCGGTGACCATTGGTCCCCCATGATCCTCTTTTTCTTACGTTTTTTGAGAGCTGAGTTGATGAGATAACCACCTGTCCAGTGACCTTGCAGTGTGGTCTAATCCCTCCTTTACACTAGTACTGATGAGCTTTAAGTATTGAATTGAATACGAGTCCAGGATCTTACCTCAGAGTCTGACATAGAGCAGGGATACTGATGATTCACAAACTCTCCGAGACTGATACGGTCCTGCTCTTTTCTAGATCGCCACAAGCTTCCTAGTTCAGGCTTGATGACTTTCTTCTACAAGTGGAAAATAAAGGATATGTATATTAACTGATTCGAAATACTCAGTATGCATTACCACCAGAACTTAGAATGTCATTTACTTAAAACATGTACTGATAAAATTTAAGGAAGAGTAGAATTGAAATTCTTTAAAGGCATCGTTTAACAATGTTAAATCTCAGATGCACGGCCCTACATGTTATCAGTGTATGTAATATGGTATAATATTGAAGCCATAAAAAAAAATTGTGCTTCAAAATGATCAAGAAGTGCCTCAAAAAAGTAAAAATCTTTGAGTGACCGGTTTTACCATACTCGTTTTCCCCAATAGACTGTAGTGTTATGAATATTGTTTGGCAAATGCAAAATTTGGTTTCGATTTTCCAATCATAAATATCTTGATAATAAGACAGGCGATCGGCTTGTAAAAGTCATGGGGTTCCTGACTGACCTAAAGGTTTACCGGTATAATTATCATTGAAGCATGAGCTAAATCCAGGATTTTGTTTCAGAATCTGAGACAAAGTTACCGGATCCCTTTAAGAAGGAAATATAAAGTTCAACAATGCCTGTATACCTATCTGTGCCACCATATTCAAACATATTTAACCAGAGATTTCATGAGACATCTTTGGTTCAATTATCCAATAATAAAAATTGACATTTATGGAATTCATTAATCTAATTTGATTTCATAATTATTTTAACATAAATGCTCCCCTAGTCCAAACATATTATAAACTAGATGGAATTCGACTGCGCGCAGTCAAAAATGATGCCTCCGTCATAGAGCAATTTTACAAACCAAAACAGAAGACATTTTTCGAATTCAAGTTCAATTGTAATCCATTAACAGGTTCTCAGAATATCGTGATTACAAGCAATTTCTCATATACATATATGACCCTTTGATCTTTGACCTCATGACCCTAAAATCTACTCAGTTCATTGGCTCTGCAAGATGTCCTGAGTTAAATAGTAATCCATCTGTCAGTTCTAATGAGAATGTGTTCACAAGCTATTTTTGCATACATAATGAGCCCATGACCTTTGACCTCATGACCCAAGAATCTACTCAGTTCATTGGCTCTGCAAGATACATACATGATCTATGTTTGGCAGGAATCCATCAATCTGTTCTAATGATAATGCGATCACGAGCTATTTTTGCATACATGAGCCGCATGACCTTTGACCTTAACCTCATGACCCCAAAATCTAATCAGTTCATTGGCTATGCAAGTAACATACATGACCTAATTTTGGCAGGAATCCATCAATCGGTTCTTGAGAACGCGATCACGAGCTGTTTTTGCATACATAATGTGCGTTGTGGCCTTTGACCTTTGACCTCGTGACCCCAAAATCTAATCACTTCATCGGTTCTGCAAGTAACATACATGACCTAAGTTTGGCAGCAATCCATCAATCGGTTCTTGAGATAATGCGATCACGAGCTGTTTTTGCATACATAATGAGCCCTGTGACCTTTGACCTTTAACCTCATGACCCCCAAATCTACTCAGTTCTTTGACTTTGCAAGATACATACATGACCAAAGTTTGGCAGGAATCCATCAATCGGTTCTTCAGATAACGCGATCACGAGCTGTTTTTGCATACATAATGAGCCCTGTGACCTTTGACCTTTGACCTCGTAACCCCAAAAACTAATCAGTTCATCGGCTCTGCAAGATACATACATGACCAAAGTTTGGCAGGAATCCATCAATCGGTTCTTCAGATAACGCGATCACGAGAACGGGACGTACGTACGTACGTACAGACGTACGTACGTACAGACGTACGTACAGACGTACGTACAGACGGACGGACGGACAACCCGAAAACATAATGCCTCCGGCTACTTCGTAACGGAGGCATAAAAACTTTAAAATTGGGTGAGATTTTGTTAAGAGAATAAAATGTTTTTCCTTTTAACATGGTCCGATGACATGTATGTAAAGGAATCTTTTTACAAAGATATCAGAAATATTCAAAGAAAAAACAAGAAAAAACAGGGTTCATTGAACACCCAACTTGGGAGGTTTCTCTTAAAACTAGACAGTTGTACTATGTACATGTCTATACTTGTTCCTTTGTATTTCTATACAGTCACTTTCTTATCATTATGAGGATTCAAAAACATGACCTTTGGATTTCGTACAAAACTATAAAATCGACAACAACACCTCCACAACAAGGCAATTATGTCTGGCTCATCTAGGTGGGTTTAAAAGATGACCATGAACATAGAGAGACAAGCAGGAAATAAGGGATTCAGAGACTGACTAAAGCAGCAAGATGTCATACAAAACAATATTTTATATCTTCATAATTGTACATTCACAACAAGGTTAAATAGGCCCTCTCTTCTTGTAAAGATTCTTCAGATAATCATGACTTTGATCAAGTATGAACAAAATTGGTAAATACAAAGCTATAAAGCCACAGAGGATGGAAATTTGCACGCTAATATTTAAACAACCAGAAATGCCCACTAATGAGGATAACACATAACAACTTCCAAAAGGTCATATTTTCTTCTATGTCTTCTATGTATTCTATGTAAACATGGTCTGCATAAAAATATGTGTCTTTATTCTTCCAGGAAAATATTAAAAGGACAATCTCTACATTTATTGCATGAACAGAGTCCCCCCCCAAAAAAAATCCTTTCGTCAACAAGAATATCACTATAGTTGTCCTATTATTTTCTTATCAACCATAGGGAGGGAGGATCTAATGCAGTAAGGGAAATACAGGAAATGCATACACAAGTGCATTCACTAATTCAATTCACACTACAACAAGAGGATGATCATGTTCATCCACTTGTACACAGGAAATGTTTGTTTTTTATCAAGTAAGTGTCATCATGATGAAATATTTATTAAGTCCACTGAAAAGCAGAGAGTTTTTTTTCTTCAGATGTACATCATGAATAAAAACGTATGCGTCATTGAGATCTGAAATCAAAGGAGTTTGTGTTACATTTGAGTAAGAGCCAAAACCATCCACTTACAAGAAAGAAATTGTTTTTTGTTTAAACTGCAGTTTCATTCAAACTGAAAGGGAATCATATGTTATTTTGAATTTTGAAGAAAAAAAAAACCCAGTGATTATATCTAGAGTATAATTACTATTTCATTTAATATAGAGTAGATGTTAATTGTTGTTTGTTCTATGAAAATGGGAGCATACAGTGTATACAGCCTTTGGACATCTAGTCTGAAATTTATTGTATATTTGGAGGAGATTTTTTTTTACTTCTCATAACAAATAAAAGTAATACTTGTCCTTGATTTATGTTAGCTGCTGCATACGTGTCGGTGTCAGCATTATAAGCACATAATTCACAGTGACATATGTATTTAGCACCAACAAAAAACGTTAAATCCCTATAATTTGACATTTTTAAGGAAAAGAACACCACTTTACACTAAACACAATATAGTCTTCAGAATTCTATTCCAGTTAACTATTAATCATTTTCAGAGCCCTTTTATAATGATAAAAATGTTAAGTTCTAGAGATTATGTGATCTCTCTACAAACAACAGCTCTGGAAAGTATTAATTTCATGAAATTTGACAATTGTAGAAAAACATCACCACATCACACTAAAAAAATAAACACAAGATAGTCTTAAGATAGTGTTCATACCCTTTTTGCATCGATCCGTTGTTGCTGTGCTCTTCGCGCTTCAGCCCACCTAGCCACAAATGAACACACCCCTTCCACTATAGTGGGTGTGGCTTCAAGCTGGCTCTGTGATTGGTTGGTTGCACACTGATCTGGATATGACTTCACAAAGGGATCTGCTGGATGCAGGCTTCCATCACTCACAGAATGGCTGCTAAAAATAAAAAAAATCATATGAACAAGATCAGACATTTATCGAAAATAATATTGCTAGTGATATTCGTTTGTCTCGCAATGTACATGAATCGTCAACAAGAGATCTAAAGATCACGACGTTTCATGCGCCGCTCGGCTGTAACATTTCGTCAGGTAATAAAATATAATGTAAGCAAGCGTGTTTTATACTCTACGGGTGGACCGTGAAAAGTTTGTATGAATATTAACTGGCAGAAGATATCTCTACATACCTCAACATTATATTTCTTTCAAATTTTTAAACAGAACGATATTCAAAATGTCATTTTTATCCAAAAGGCATGGACATCAAATAATCATCACAGTTTTGAAGAACAGTCAATATAATTTTTTTTTTTTTCCCAGGTTGTTTGTAGAGACTTCTGTAAATTTGAAAATTATAGCTGAGGTTAAATGCCTTATCATGCACATGTATTTCAAACTAAAAACTAAACAAAGGGATCTGCTGGATGCAGGCTTCCATCACTCACAGAATGGCTGCTAAAAATAAAAAAAATCATATGAACAAGATCAGACATTTATCGAAAATAATATTGCTAGTGATATTCGTTTGTCTCGCAATGTACATGAATCGTCAACAAGAGATCTAAAGATCACGACGTTTCATGCGCCGCTCGGCTGTAACATTTCGTCAGGTAATAAAATATAATGTAAGCAAGCGTGTTTTATACTCTACGGGTGGACCGTGAAAAGTTTGTATGAATATTAACTGGCAGAAGATATCTCTACATACCTCAACATTATATTTCTTTCAAATTTTTAAACAGAACGATATTCAAAATGTTATTTTTATCCAAAAGGCATGGACATCAAATAATCATCACAGTTTTGAAGAACAGTCAATATAATTTTTTTTTTTTTTCCCAGGTTGTTTGTAGAGACTTCTGTAAATTTGAAAATTATAGCTGAGGTTAAATGCCTTATCATGCACATGTATTTCAAACTAAAAAATTTACAATTGGAGAAGAAGAAACCCCCCCCCCCCCTGAAAAAAAAAAAACCCAAAACCCCCCAAAACACAACAACAACAACAACTAAAGATGACAATAACTGTCACAGCTTACCTGGTACTTGGGCTTGTGGGCGGGGATGACTGAAGAGCTTTACACTGGTTTGTCCTATCATTCAAAACAACTGCAGGAGAAACACATTAAAACAATATTACCGTAAAGCAAATGCTTTACATTACTGCATCATAGATATTTAGTTAGGACACTTGATTGAAGAATTTTTCGCATCTTGCGCCTTGAGCAATATTTCCCCAGCGTCAACCAGCATCAACCAGCGTCAAAAAGCATGACCTGGGGGGGGGGGGGGGGTGTTTCATAAAGATTCTAAGTCAAACTAACTCTAAGTTGAACTTAAATATTATGGAGAGCCATTTGTAGCCTTATAATGAAATATATTCAAAAGCAAACATTGAAGTATTTTAGACTTTTCATAAATTTCCACATCAAGAACATGAAATCTCCCATAAATAGAAAATATAAATGATTTGAATCAACATTTTAGGCCTTTTAAAATAACTGTTAATTTTTTTTTCAAGGATGGTAACGGCTTTCCATAATTGTTAAGTCCAACTTAGAGATAAGTTCAACTTAGGATCTTTGTGAAACACCCCTAGGTATGTATAACGCTTAGAGGCATTAGAGTAATACAATTTCGGCAAACAGTGATACAATTTTTATCCTTTCCTTGAAGTCAGGGAACTTACCTGTTTGGTTGGAAGATTTAGGAATCAAGCCTTTGGCAGAGGTAGATCCCTTGTCATCAACTCTTCTTGGAGCTAAAAGTGAGAAGGTTTGAGAGAATCTTGTCAAATCTTGGGACAATCGCCTATCAACCTGAATAACTATCCCCTAGGACAATCATCAACAGGCCAACTTCTAACATGATAATGACTTCTCCAACAACTATCATTTGGGCCATGATCACCTGAACAACTATCAATTCATCAACTCCTGGAAATTTCCCACTAAGTAATGCCAACCAAGCAACTTCAAACATGATAATCACTCTTACATGTAGATCAACTTTCACACAATTATTCTCTGAATGCAGATTATAAAACATAATTCACAGAATTTTTAAATAGCTAAAACAGTGACTCAAAATTAATGACAGCATCAGGCTTATATGCGTTTATCTTAAATCATTTATCGGATTTATCTGAAGCGTTTATCCGATGATCAAGCTTCCAGTAGAAGTAAGTATGGTAATTCTAATAGAGAGTAATTTTATCAATTAACAGACTGATGAAGTTTGACTTTATATGGATATGAAAATGAAGTTAGCTGTGTGACTTTATGTACAACAACTAGCTCAAGACTTCATTTTTTAAAATTAGGTGAGAAGGCTTTGATTAGAAGCTACATTTGAATTCTTTACGGTGTGGTTTTAGGTACCGGTATTCAGAACATTTTCCAACAAATGACAACCCTTTGCTTAGAGCTCATATTACATCCTTACTTTTTAGTCTACATGATATCAAATATCATTACTAGTTATTAAATGACAAGTCATCGCCAGAAAAAAAACCTCAGATGGCCACAAGCCAATAATACTCAATATTGCTTGAAAGACAAGACATCTTTAAACATGTCCTTCATAATATAAGATGAGTTAGAAATTATGAGTAGCATGTACTTTACAACAGCCAAACAGAAAAAGGAAAAATGAGAGAGGCCTTCAGAGTTTCAGAGGACATTGCCAGTGGCCTGTGCCTCTGCATGGGTTCCAGAGGGGGGGGGGGGGGCATGCCCTTTTCAATTACATTTTAATCATAGCCAAAGCAATCTTAATCAATAAAAGAAGAAATTATGCAAGCAATGTGTAACAACTTACGTTTGTATGGTTTTTGTCCAGTTCCGCGGCTGCCTGTCCCCTTGTTTCTCTGCTGGTTACGTTGTCTGTTCCTCGTGTCTACCATACTCTTCTTTGCAAGCCCCCCTGGGGCAGGTAGATTTGATGGCGTGGCAAGACTGCCATCACCTCTAGATGACTTTCTTATCCTTTCTTGTTGATGATGCTCTTCTTTCAAATCTCTCCTTTGGTGAGTCGAGTGATCACCATCATCTCTCGAGGCGAGAGTTGGCTGCTGCTCTCCGTGAGGTAGCGTTCCATTACTGAGTTCTCCGCCGATATCATTCCTAATTGCCTGGGAGCCAAGTGAGTTCCTTGCTTGTTGAAGAGATGCCTCCGAGACTTGGATCTTTCTTCCTTCCCCTGTCATGAATCCTGACATCTTAGAGGGTTTCCCAGAGAGTGGATTTTCATTCGCTTCACCAGGGACAGCAGAATTCTTTGAAAGTGCATCAGTTCCTGCATCCTTCTCATGAGCTAACAACTGCTTTGCAATTTGAAGGGATGCCTCAGAAATCTGAACCTTCTTTCCGTGTCCTGTTTGAAAGCCAACTGCAATGTTTTTATCTGGTAGTGGTTCAGTATCGTTAGCTAAGGATTGCTTTGCTTTCAAAAGGGATGCCTCAGAAATCTGAACCTTCTTTCCTTGCCCTGTTTGGAAGCCAATGGCTACACTTTGATCTGGAAGTGGTTCAGTATCGTTAGCTAAGAATTGCTTTGCTTTCAGAAGGGATGCCTCAGAAATCTGCACCTTCTTTCCGTGTCCAGTTTGAAAGCCAACTGCAATGTTTTTATCTGGTAGTGCATCAGTATCGTCAGCTAAGAATTGCTTTGCTTTTTGAAGTGATTCCTCCGAAATTGGAACCTTCTTTCCGTGTCCAGTTTGAAAGCCAACTGCGATGCGTTTATCTGGTAGTGCATCAGGATCGTCAGCTAAAAATTGCTTTGCTTTTTGAAGGGATTCCTCCGAAATCGGAACCTTCTTTCCATGCCCCGTTTGGAAGCCAATGGCTACACTTTGATCCGGTAGTGGTTCAGTATCGTTAGCTAAGAATTGCTTTGCTTTCAGAAGGGATGCCTCAGAAATATGCACCTTCTTTCCGTGTCCAGTTTGAAAGCCAACTGCAATGTTTTTAACTGGTAGTGCATCAGTATCGTCAGCTAAGAATTGCTTTGCTTTTTGAAGGGATGCCTCTGAAATCTGCACTTTCTCTCCGTGTCCAGTTTGAAAGCCAACTGCAATGTTTTTAACTGGTAGTGCATCAGCATCGTCAGCTAAGAATTGCTTTGCTTTTTGAAGGGATGCCTCTGAAATCTGCACTTTCTCTCCGTGTCCAGTTTGAAAGCCAACTGCAATGTTTTTATTTGGTATTTCATCAGTATCGTCGGCTAAGAATTGCTTCGCTCTTTGAAGGGATGCCTCGGAAATCAGAACCTTCTTTCCATGCCCTGTTTGAAAGCCAATGGCTACACTTTGATCTGGTGATGCAACATTCTCATGACTTAAGAACTGCTTTGCTTTTAGAAGGGATGCCTCAGAAATCTGCACCTTCTTTCCATGTCCTGTTTGAAAGCCAATGGCTACACTTTGATCTGGTGATGGATCATTCTCATGAGCTAAGAACTGCTTTGCTTTTAGAAGGGATGCCTCAGAAATCTGAACTTTCTTTCCATGCCCTGTTTGAAAGCCAACTGCAATATTTTGATCTTGTAATGGAGCAGTGTCATCGGTTAGGAAGTGTCTTGCTTCTTGAAGAGATGCCGCAGAAACCTGAACCTTCTTTCCACGTCCTGTTTGAAAGCCTAAGACTACACTTTGATCTGGTGATCCATCATTCTCATCAGCTAAGAACTGCTTTGCTTTTAGAATGGATGCCTCAGAAACATGAACTTTCTTTCCGTGTCCAGTTTGAAAGCCCTGTACAATGTTTTGATCTGGTAGTGCATCAGTCTCATCAGCTAAAAATTGCTTTGCTCTTTGAAGGGATGCCTCAGAAACTTGAACTTTCTTTCCGTGTCCAGTTTGAAAGCCCTGTACCATGTTTTGAACTGGTAGTGCATCAGTCTCATGACTCTCATCAGAATCCATATCTACATGTTCTGAATTATCCTTCTTTCTTTGACCACTGGATTCAGATTTCAGCACATTTTGGTTGGCATCCTTTTCATCACACAACACATGCCTTGCTTGCATCAGGGATGATTGTAAGACCTGAATCCTTCTTCCACCTCCCGTTTGAAAACTAACCTCCAACTCTACAGGTCCTGGGTGTTTGTTGCTAGGAGCTGAAGAAGCTTCAACATCAGGTAGGTCTTCATATTCATCGAAATCATTTGATAGCAACTGCTTAGCTTTCAGAATTGCAGAATTGGAGATATGGATGCACTTTCCACTGCCAGTTTGAAAGCCAGTCATGGGTGGGGATGATACAACCCCAGTCTGTTTCATCTCTCGTTTCTTCTGTACATTTCCATCTTGGGCATCATTTTCCAACAGCTGCTTTGCCTTCTTGAGAGATTCATCTGAAACAGAAATGGCACCTCCCCTAGCTGTCTGGAAGCCAATCTGTCCTGGTGCTGAGTTCTTGGTACCAACTGAACCCCTTTGGGCAGAAGAATTATCAGATGAGTCTTCATGGCTTGATCTTCCTTGCCTTTCTTTGGGAAAGGGTACCTCTGAATTCATATCTGTAGCACCACTTACTAAGTTGTCTGGGTGAGCAGTATCTCTCCTATCACCCAAGTCTGTATCACTGGCCATAAACTGCCTCGCTTTCAGTAGTGATTCCTCAGATATCTCAACACAGTTTTCACTAGCTGTTTTGAATCCAACAATTGTAGGAATTGGGTTAGATATGGAACCCTTTGTAGCATTTCCAATGGCTTCTTCTTCTTCAAAACTCTCATGGGAAATCAGTCTCCTTGCCTTCTGAAGAGCATCGTCTGATATATTGATTTTGCTACCACTTGCAGTTTGGAACCCCAGAGCCTTCGGACTTCTGGCAGCTTTAAGGCCACTCTCAGTATTTGAGGATGTTCCAGATACAGCATCACATTCTGCAAAAAGTTGCCTAGCTCTGCACAAGGAATCCTCTGACACTGTAACAGAATTCCCACTTGCTGTTTGAAAACCAACAGTCTTTGGGAATAGTCCAGTTGAAGTGACTGATGAACATTTCTGTGGCACCTGCTCTGACTGAACAGTTTTATGATTGTTGTCCATTTTACATGTTGCATTTTGTGATGTATCAGAGTCACTGGTGTTCGGATGTAACATAGGAGACACTCTTGGAGAACATTCACGAATGTCTTCTATATCGGATTCAAGAATCTGTTTGGCCCTTCTCAATGCAGACCTTGACACATGAACTTTGTTACCTCGTGCTGTCTGGAAACCTACACTCACAGAATCTTGCCTGCTTGCAGAAAAGTGTGCATCAGATCCAGAGTCAAAGGAATGGTCCACAGGATTCTCATCATTTTCACCGATGACCAGTTTTGCCTTCTGCAGAGCTAATTCTGATATCTTGATATCCTTTCCCCCAGCAGTCTGAAAACCAACCTGACAGAGTGCAGGTAAAGAACTGGACAGAGTAGATGGAGGGTGTTCATCAACAGACGTGCTGTCATTTCTTATGACTGGACAACCACTGTTAATATGAGTTATCATTCCTTCCCTTTGTAAGACATCACCTGGAGGTATGCACTCTGAAGCTTTGGCATTCTGATCCTCACTCTTACAAAGTTCGACATTTTCCGCAAGAGTTGTGGCATCTGATATGCAAATATCTTGGGCTGATGAAGTTGGAATAAGCTGGTTTAACAACTTATCAGATATTTCTAAACTGCTTCCCTTCAATGTTCCTACATCTGAGTTGCAATCAGAGAGTAGTAAAGTAGCCTTCTGCAGAGCTGATTTTGAAACCTGAATTTTCTTTCCTCCAGCTGTCTTGAAACCAACGGGGTCATGTCCTCCTACGTTGTTGTCGTCCATTCTTGACCCTGGCTCGTCTCTCTGTCCCTGCGCAGTTTTGAATACTATAGTAGAATCGGCATTACCTTGATATGCTGTATGGCTGTCCACTTGACTGATCTGCTCCTTTTGCACTTCATGTTTCCTACTAAGGGTACCAACTCTATCTGACTCCTCTATCAGGATGGAGCTATCATCCATGAGCTGCCTGACAGTGTTCATAGAAAGGTCTGCAACAGGTGCTTCGGTCTCATGTGTGTCGTCCTCTTCGGTTGGCCTTAGGTAATATATGTCTTGAGTCTCTTTCCTAGCACATTTTGGAGAAGGTAGGTTTTGTTCAGGTCCACAAGACCTTGATAATGAGTGGCTCTGTACAAAAGCCACACCATGTTGACTCTCTTTGTGCAGATTGCCTGCAGGTGATTCTTCATTCCTATTTGTGGACTCCCTGGTAATCCCAATGGGTGCATCTCTTTGATGCTGGTCTTCAGGCACAATGAAATGACCAATATGTTCATTAGAGAAGTCTTGTGTTTGGGCAGGCTCTATGACATGATGGGACATCTCCTGATGCTCATAACAATTAGATGCATGTCCCCCCTCTTTCTGGATGGGATTTCTATGCTTGTCTGTCCATTTCAGAATTTGGGCTGCTCCTTTCTCAGTACGATCAGCTGCCACAATCGAAGACACATCAAGTTGAGAGAATCCTGTGTCCTCTTCCTGCATGAAATTATAGACTAGCTCCATCTCCTCTGCCGCTTTGATCTCTCTAGCAGCCTGTGAGGTAGACAGGCATTCATCTTCAGAAATTTCAAGTTCCCCATTGTCAACAGGTTGTCCATTCATACTGTCTGTATTTTCCCGGTTGTCCTGGGTTTGTTCCAGAATGATGCTGCTTTGAGATGTTTCAATCTTCTGCTCATGTTGCAATGTGGTACTCTGAAGCTCTGGCATCACTGCATTTCCTTGCTTAAAAGGTGTCTGCAAATCATCTGGAACACTGTCTTTATACATCTCAAGGCTTTCTCCTCTTTCTGATTCTTTTATGACATCGATTGCACTATTCTGGTTCATGGATGAGATGCTTGTTGGTGAAGGCAAATTAGATGGTATCTGGATATTTGCAACCAGACATGGTGGCTTGAATGGACGGAATCCTTTATGACGCTGTCTACCATCTGCTTTTCCTCTCGGTGAAGCATGTCCTGGCAAGCTCACCTTGTCCACAACTTCTTCATTGTGTATCCTACTCCCATCTCCACCTCCATCCACATGGTGTTTTGCATAAGTTTGTCCATCCTTTCTTTCATGTAAAGTGGGATTGGATTCTTCATCTTGGTTGATTTCCTTCATTATCTTTCTTGCCTTAGCCATGGCAGCTGCTGAGATGTTGATAACACTGCCCCCTGCAGAAGTAAATCCTAAAGATATTTGCTGTTTCTCACTGGAATCATCAATCTCTTCATCATGTGAATCTACTTCAGCAATGATTTTCTTTGCTTTAGACAGTGCAGCATCTGATACTGCAATGGACTTCCCGCTCGCACTCTGAAACCCACATTGGTGGTCTACAGACGATAAATTGAGTTGAAATTCTTCAGGTGGCTTTTCCCTGTCAACATCCTCCAAGAGTCTTTCAGCTTTCTTCAAGGCTTCAGGTGAGACAAATATGGCTTTACCACTGGCACTTGAGAATCCAACATTGGGAGCCATCTGATGAAGATCTCCTTCTGAAGATGGCGCATGATCGCTTGAGTTGACTTTGTCATGGAAATCTCCAAGACCTTTTTGTTCAGTGACCTCTTCGCCTTTCACCAAATCTTGCACATGGTGCAACTTCACATCACTTTCCAGAGGAGTTGACTTCGTAATTTCTCCATCATGTTCCTCCACAGCTGAAGAAAGGCTCTTGAGGTCACTTCCGATGGGACACTCTTCTCTCTCTTCATCCAGTCTTAATCGCTTCGGTGATGGCCAGCTATGCGGAATCTCTCTGATCCTTACCAATGTCTTGTTATGTGGTGGTGCACTTTGGACAATTGACCTGCTAGATGTAGGTGTGGTGCTTGTTCTGAGGCCAGTCTGGCTTTGAGTGCTACATGTAGATGGAGGGTTCGGTGCTGTCTTGCAAAATGTTGAAAAAGTTTTGAATGCTGAAAAAAAAAGATATATACATACAATCATAAAAAATATAAAGATGTTGTTCCCATTCTATTCTTTTTTGTAATTAACAATTTTTAGCAAATGGTGAACAAAAAATGCTCTATTTTCACTTTCAAATATCATGGAATCTCTGACACAAGTGCAAGAAGTATATTTTTGTGGTAGATTTCTTGTACAGAATTTTAAGGGATTTAACGATAACAAAGTAAATTATGATGGACTTGCTTTCTTTTATCACCTACAGGGTATCATAGACAGGACCACAGTGAATAACATCAAGGTATTCTTTCAAAAATTGACATAACTCAAATGAGGTGTAGTCGATTTGAAAATGTAACGAGCTGTAGTACATCTGCTACTGAAACAAGAGGTATAGTCATAAAATGAGATGTACATGTAAATGTTACAAAGCTATGAACTTACTTGTTGCTGTTCGGCAAGGCCTCTTCATTGTCCATGGCTTCTTGGATGATTCATCCTTTATAGTGTCTGCCTGCACTGCGCCTGCCGTCTTGTCTTCCTCCTCATCTTCCTCTACGTAAACAGCTCGGGACAGCCAGCTTGGCGTCTTGGATGTACTTGCTCCATCCTTTCTTGGCACTGCTGCTGTGTATTTAAACCGTCCTTTGGCGGCAGTTTGTGTATTGAGATTGCTGATGGCTAAAGACCTGGATGGAGGCACCACTGGACTTGTTTCTTGCTTTGACAGATGTTTTGGAAGCTTGTTATTTGCACTTGAGGGAAGACTTGAAGTGATCGGTGCAGAAAGGTGCACTGCTATTGCATTTTTCCCGGTTGTCTCGGTGGGGTGTAAGGTTTTCTTTACCACAATGTCAGTACAATCCTCTGACCTTGATTGATCTACAACCTTTATGGGGCTTCTTGTTGTGTCAGAATCAGGACTGTCAAAGTCACCTATCAGGTTTCTCTCTACCTCAAGGCACTTCTGAACTGTAAGGGTGCTCTTATTACCACTAGGTTGTTCCCTGGAGGCAATGTCGGTAACTCTACAGAGAGCTTCTGCGAAGTTTGGTGAAATCGGTGATAGCATATCCACATCTGGTGCAGGTCTGTTCGGTGTCTCCCCTACTTGCCCATTAGTTTTAGCATCAACACTGCATTCAGATTCCAATGAATTTCTTTCTGGCCCACCAGAGAGATGTCCAGATATTGTTTGCTTCCATAATATGCCTACAGGAGGACTCATCAGAGTATCATCTGAAATGCTTTTCTTTGGGACACTATTGCCAGTGACAGGTGAGTCACTCCTTCTATCTAAGGTTGAGCCTGCTGCATCACAAGCAGCCTTCTCAAAAGTGGTAGTTTCACCTACCCCACTGCTAGAGGCACCCAAGCGGTTGAGCAGTTTCTCTCTCCTGCTTGGAGGTGTAGCTAGAAGGAATGCTAGTGTCTCTTCTATTGCAGACTTCTCATTCTTAATACTTTCTTGTGAGTTGAACAGAGTCTGACTACTCCCAATGATGGAACTTTGTTGAGATGACATTGCAGGTTGAATAGGGACATGTAGATGATTCTTCATGCTATGAGATCCATGAGCAAGTTTTGAAGGTACATTGGTGTCTGTGCACTCTCCATTTGCAATTGTCCTGGATTTCAATTCAGCTGCATTGTCCATATCCTCAACTTTTTCTCGGACGGATGATTTTTCTTCCATGTACTGATCAGGGACTGCACATTCACTGAAGCTCTCATGTTCTTCATCTTTGGCAAGATGTGGCTTTCTATTGTCTGTCGTGGAGGATTGTACTGAGGTAGTAGGTGGTATAAGAGAGTTGTCCGTCCCCGTTCGAGTGCCAGCCTGATCGTTCTTGAGATTATCTGGCGACGTGGCGTCACCAACAACGTCAAAACGACTACATTGTTCATTCCCCAGCGCTGCAATTGCTTTGCTCCCATCTGCTATACTCTTATCACTTTCTCCACCATCCTCCGTTTCTATGGTGAACTCTTCTTCCTGGCTCTCATCAGTGATAGAAGGTAGCTTGATGACCTGCAGAGGTTGGGTCAATCCCTCATCTCCCTCTTCAGAGCTATCCATCTCAACCACAGAACCCCCGTCCTGGAAGAGAACCTTGGCAACATCCTGTCATAAGATCATAAGTTGAAGTTACATATGTATAGCGATCATGCGATCAAATGCTTAGCGTTGTGTGTCAGGCCCCTGATCTCATTCAGTAATAAGCCTGTGTAAACCCAGTAATGACCAAGTTGGAAATTGTGTTACACGAAGATGAAAATGTCTCTGACATGTTAAAAACTCATGATTGGGTGACAAAAGAAATTGTCATGGTACAACTGTGTGGTTTTAGTGTAAAGAAAGTTAGCAGTTTGTTATTTATTACACAAACCCTTCTTTGTGTACCACCTTGCCAATGTGTTTGCAGTAGGCCATGAGCCAGTATACCTGAATAATATTAGCCCATTATATGTACTAAATAGTATGTTCCTGTAACTTAATATTCTACAATTTGTGGTCGGTGGGGGGGGGGGGGGCGTATGAATTAGAACTTGTCTAGGTTACCTATGATTCTTCGTCTTAAAAGCTTAATTTTTGGTTCAGTGAATATAAAAGAAGAATCCAAATTTTTGGCGGAAATCATCCAACGACGATGGAAAACGCCATAAAAACCACCAACAACAACAACTGTTTTATTTATTTATCTTTGTTTTATTATAACGTTTAAATCACGTAACATAGCTACTAATCTGTATTAAAGCTATTTGTAATGATTTGTATTTTTTTATATTATCTGCCCTGCATGGACTATTATTTGGGTCAAGTCCTGGGCTTTCCTTTATGTTCTCCTTTTCTTGGTGTTTCTTTGTCATCATGTCTCTGTTTAAATTGCTGAAGTACTAATAAAGTGATGTACCAACATCAGTTTGACATCTTCAAATCTTCCTACTCACATGTGTTTGCCAGCTATCGTCTTCAATGACTTTCTTGGTGGAGCTCGTGACTGTTTTACATCCCTTTGAACTCATTGGAGGGGTTGCCAGGGAACTGGTCCAGGAGAGGTCGGACTCCTCCGGTTCAGCACCAAGACTTCTGGACAACCTCTGAGGGGTAGACTGGTGGCAGAAAGAGAGTGGAACATAGTAATAATAAATCCGCTTTTATATATCTCCAATCCCTGGGGATTATTCCCGCCAAGCGTTACTTAACGCTCAAAACTGTTTGACCAACAATGATGGTCGCATTCTACCAGGAACCCATTTAACACCTGGGTGGAGAGTAGCAAGTGCAGGTAAATATCACGCCAAAGGATATTAGTGCCGCGTCGGGATTCGAACCATCGACCTTCGCATCTCCAGTCAAGCGCCTTAAACCACTCGATCACGAAACTCCTGTATGTGTGGTATTTCAAAAACAGAACAGAGTTGAACTATAGCCAAAGTACAGAAGGACCTACACCATCGGGGCTCCACATGAAACTTTTTGTCTGGGGTGTAGTGAAAATGTGAGGGTGTGTAAAATGGACCCCTATCAGTGTTCAAATCTACCTACAAGATATATCCCCCACGTCTTATTAATTTATTGAAACTTATACTCTGAACTTTCCTAGATATCTTTACTATATCATTATTCTTGATCTTCCTGTTAAGAGTAATAAATAATTATCATTCTTGCCTATCTCTCATCTAAATGTATACATACCAACTTTTAAAGCAAAAATCAAGAACCCCGCAAGGCAAAATTAGGATTATGGTAATTTTTCACAAAAGACAGGAATCTAGGGTTCATAACATTATCTTAATGACCAAAAAGTAGGAAACATTTCCCCTAAATAGAAATGGTTGGAAGTTATGATAATCTAGAAAGATTTTGGAACAACTGAGATATTTTCAAAGCATTCCTCAAAGTGTAATCTTCATTAACCTCTTAAAATAGCACAACATAATTACCAAACGCTGAAGCGGTGTGCTGCAGGCCCGCTTGTCCCCTGCACCAAACAATGTGGATGGAGTCTTGAAGAGCTGCTTCATGAAGACAGGCGTGTCCTTATGGAAGGTGGGGTTCCAGGTGGGGTACGGACTGAACTGGATATCTGCAGACTGTGCAACCTCACCCTTATCCTCCTCCTCCTCCTCAATGGTCTCTGCTGTTGGACCACTGGTGGGCTGGTGCGAAGTGATGATTTGAGAGTTTGGAGTCGTGTGGATGCTGCTGGGGACTTCAAAAATTCCAATAGCAAAGTATATAGCAAATTCTGATACTGACATTTTGCATTTGATCCATTAAGTGAAAAAAACTTAATGGATCAAAAAGGTACTATGTCCCATTCGCAGGCCAAAAAAATTAAAAGGTTAAATTCCAACCGCATTTGAAGGATAATACTAATTTAGAACTTCCGTGTTTTTTCTTAAGGGCTTGAAAATGTCTTCTTGTCGGGGGGAAAAAAAAGACCATTAGTTGTTGAATTGACTTTAGTGATTGCAATCCATTTGGTAATAATCTGATTTTCAGACCCTTGTACTGAATGGTTATACGTTTTGTGCTGCGTAAAGATTCAATCAGTTTAATTTTGGTCATTACAAGAAGTGGGTTATTGATGTATACCAATGCTCACGTACCCTTTCAGCTCATTTTGTATATGTTCTATATGAAGACAAAAAAGGAGTCAGTCAGTCACTCAATATTGTCTGACAGTGAATTCTAGAAAGTAGTTTCCTTGCATAATTTGAATATTAGGACACTGCTAACGTTTAATTTTCACATACATCAATGCTTTACATGTATATCTCCTTGACATAATATAGCAAATATCCTTCATGAATGATCAAAGCAATATACATTGTACATGTAAGGGATATGCTTGAATTGCATAACATTCAAAACCATTTTGGGCTGGAGCAGTAATGTACATGTACATGAACAATGTGTATAAAGTGTAGATTGGTGTGACCAGATGCACTACCTGTAGTCTCCCTTTATAGAGCATAGCTGAAGACTGAAGTATATCATGAAAATTGTCATATTCCTCATTACCCTAAATCCTGCACATTTGTACTCTTTCCTCATCTACATGTACATTGTAAGTTTAACACATTACCTACATGTAGGTACTGTATGTACCAAATATTAAGGCCTAGGTGAATTGGAGAATTCAGTAATCATTTACATTTGTCCATGTGATACAAATCAAGCTTTGAACTTGATCAATTTTGCGTGTACAATTATATAATATAAGAGATATCCCGCTAATTCTTCCAAGGCCGGCCTCGATTTCAAGCTTACCGCTCATGATGGCGGTCTCCTGCGTTTTTTGTACATTATCTCTTTTCATTGAAAAATATTTGTGTTTTTAATCTTATTTACAATGGACTGAAAATGTAATAATTATGTATATGGAAGAAATGATTGTTAATTTATGTATATGATTATGTACTATTTCGAAAAAAACACAGAAATAAAAACAAACAAACAAACAAACAAAACTTCTGTTATAACTTTTTTTTTTCTTAATCACGACACTAACTGAGCTCTTACAAATCTAACACGGGTGATTTTTCTTACCTTTCCTGAACCTTTTCGGTCGTAGAAAAGAGGATGCAGACTCGTCATCTGGCAGGGGGTGGCAATCTGGGTAATCTTTGTGCCCGCGCCTAGCAACAGGAGACAACCCATCAGGAGTGAACAACCCAGGGGTGGAGCAGGCTTTGTTTTCTCTTTGGCTTGCTTGTGGGGTCTTTAGAATGTCCTGAGAAGGAGGATAAGGAGATCAAGCAATGTTTGAATTTGATGAAGCTAACCTAAAAAGCCCCACCGCACTACTTTAGCCAGGAGGGATTAGACCTCCCTGCATAGTCACTGAAAGGTGGTTATCTCATCAAATAAGCTCTCAATTAACATAAGAAAAAGGAGATCATGGGGGACCAATGGTTACGTATTAAGCATTGTTTGCTATATAGAGGGTGCAATTAGCTATAAGTAGTGCAGTGGGGCTTAAATGACAATGAGATATTTAAATTAACAACGGGACAAAATTTTGCCAGTGGTATTGTTAGATATCTCCTTTTCTTCTCTCAGGTTGTCACAATTATAATTTTTTTACAAAAACACTCCCAATCATAGCTTGATACACACTGTATTTGCAAAGACATATATTATGCACATGTACATGTACTTAAGTCAAGATTCATTAACAGAAACTGATTACTGACTACATGTATGTTAATGACAAAAATCATCTCTGCTAAATACGATCTCTTAGTTGATGATTGTTAATGATTTTAATGCATCAAGCAAAAGAATAATGTTTGGCATCCTGCCCTACATAATTATGTTAACTTTGTCAGCATGAATGTGCAGGAAGTCATAACACTTATGATTCAATGATGTTTCTCAAAGTATTTTCATCTTGCAGTTGAAGGTTTGAAAGTCCTACATACTAGTGCTCACCTCTTTTTTCCACTTGGTTTCGTCGTTTGATGTCCATCTTTCACTGTCGAACCAGCTGGTATCTACCTCTCCAAGAGAACTACAGAGGGAGCTCTCTTCGAAGAGGGATGTCAGTGAAGTGTTGGAATGCACCGAGTGTTGGCCAGATTTGAAATCTAAGATTACAAGAATGTTAAATAATAAAAGACATCAAATGTATAAAGAATTTTTTAAAAGGTAATGCTGAATGCATCAGTGATGTATTCATTTCATATTAGCATGCTGCTATTTGCTGAAGTTCTTTGAAATTATCATAACTATAAATTCAGGCGACATATTAATTGTTAAATGAATAAAATACATGCTTGTAGACTTATTAGTCAAGACTCCCCCCCCCCCCAACACCATGCACACATTTTTTAGTGTTTTTTAAATTATGTAGTGCATACTGCCACTAATAATACACTAAAGCACTTCTAAATAATCTACTATTACTCTATTTATTATTACCGGTACGCAAGATATACTGTATAGTAATGGTTTAATCTTTGAAATAGAACAGTAAAAAAATCCCCTACAAAAAGTACCGGTACATGGGATTAAAGGCATTGACGATGATGTAAAAATGGTACTTTAGTGTCACAAAAGTACATCAAACACAAATATTTGGACCACGATATCAGCAAGGCTTCAACTAATTCAAATTTAATCTCACTCACAATGTAAGACCAATAGAATATTCACAATTATGATGTTAGGCAAACATGATCTCAAAGGAGCTTTCTGCTTGCCAATCTGATCAGAAATCATACTGTACATAACTATAAAGAAAAAGGTGTAGGATATATGAAGATTTCTGAGTCTTTTTTAAGACAGGACAATTTTGCATCTTCATTGCCCTGCAGTGCAATTTGTAGGAGGAAAAAGAATTTCAGTGATATCTCACATTTTTTTACGAAGCTTCCAACATCAAATCAAGTTTTGCACAAACACCAATGTAATCTACAAGTTGTAACTCACCATATACAAACTGCAACGGTCTGTGCCTGAGTTTTGTGTGCTTCTGACACCCCTGGCTGACATATCTAGCCTGGGTGCTCGTTGGTGTAGTTTCCATTGCGGCAGCTAAAAGTGACAGTCATAACCTTTAATATGAGAGCCTGAGAGATATAAGGGTAGCAATATTTCAGTCAGGTAAACTGTCTTCAAGTTACTATCAGTCCACTGGCCTAAAATCACATTCGTCTCCAAGAAAACTACTTTACCGTATATCATTTCAAATGTTATTTTCAATATAGACCTACATGATGTACATGTACAAGTAAATTTAGGACATTCTAGGTCTATAGATAGAAAATTGTTTTAAAACATCTGGTTTTCAAAATTTGTCTTAAAGGTATAGACCAGTTTTGGAAACGCCCCCCCCCCCCCCCCCCCATCTCAAAAATGAAATGGAAGCTCTTATTACCAATCATGCTAAAGAATATGTTTTAACTAATTCGGTTATATGTGATAATACAAACCGCCTACTAATTGATATATTTGGTAAATTATCATATTGATCCGGCCTTGATAGATATCGCATATGCACTTCAACATTGAACATTTGGGCATATACATGTATTTCTGCTTTTTTGAGAATTTAGGTTGAAGTAGAGTCTATTGCCATCTTAATGACAAACTCGAGTTCTGATAAAAAAGAAAATTAATTCTCACAGAATCAAACGAAACTTCCCTACATTGAATGTTCAAGATAATAAATAAATGTCATTGGCCAAACAATTTTGGTAGAACATGTATACTGGCTGAGTAATGAGAATAGGAACATAAGGGAGACTGCACGGCTACTGCACTGAAATTGCATGATTTCTGTACAATCTCCGAGCAGCCTCGGATTTGCCCCGGCCTGCCCCCGAGGGCCAGTACAAAAAATGGCACAATGATCATAGATAATGTTCGTAGCCCAGGCCCGGGCGTAGCTTCTTAGATCAACGATGCCCCCCAAATCACACAAAAAATTGTAGACCAATTTATCGTACGCGTACGGCGCCCGGGGCAAATAAATCCAGGCATTAGAGAGGCCAACGATCACGAAAGAGACAGATATTTTCGGTCTTAATGCTGCCCAGCCGCCTTAATACACAGCCAGGATAGTATTAAATGCTGCCTGTATGGGCCTGCCTGTATGGGCCTGGCTGTAGGCCCCTAGCCTTGATATACTCAGACACTCACACTGCACTGCACAGTGCACTGTAGCTGTACATAGGATAGGCCAAGAAAAGTTGCTAAGCTATAACTTATAGGTCTAAGCCTGAACTTGAAACCTGAATAATGAAATAATGAACTATGATTAAAATATAAAACACTGACTTACCAAAAATCGTTTGTTGTACTGTCATTTTCATTTCCATTTCCATTTCCATTGATTTGCATTGCTCGTCTGGTTTTGTGATACGGCTCAGCTCAGCTCAGTCAACTGAACCTACGAAGGCTCATCGGCCATTGCCACACTTCCACGCCAGCAGAGTCGGCTGATCTGACAAGAGTTAACCGATGGAAGGAACTCGCATCAACATTTTTGACCAAGTTAAGACCACTCTGCTATCTCAATCTTTGAACAATATCAGTCACCGAAGTCACTCAGTAATTCTACACATATACCACAAACAGTGTAATCAATCAGTGACACATTCGTTAATTATGAGCTACAATTTGGCCAGGATCCAGTCGAGAAATCAAATGTGGCGCCGCGCCATGTTCGATACGATACCTTGTTCATTTTATCGATATCGTTTAATTTGAGAAAAAAATATGGTGGGGGCGGTCGTTAACAATCAATTCACCAGACAGAGCTATATCTATCTTCAACTGAAAAACACGAAATTTTCATAAAGATTAGTTAATAAATATGAAATATACATATTTTGGAAGATGAAGTCACTTATTATATAAGGATTAATCTCCCGTTTGCAATGCGTTCATGATAATTATACGTGAAAGTCGTGGAGAACTTCATATTTTGTTTATTTTGCAAGTTTGTGTGTTTGTTTGTTTGTTTGGTTCGTTATTTATTGATTGATTTTTATTCGACAATTAAGCTTCCAACATACAACAATATACAATGTACAATAATAACAGATCAAAAATAAGTCGGCTTGAACAGGATAACCCACGAAAGCTCAAGATTTCCAGTGAGGTCCCTTACAGACATGTATAAATGAATAAGTTAAAATAGTAATATTTACAAACAGATAAGAAAAATAAAAGAATTACTTATTAAAGATAATAAACTGATGATAGAAATGATAATAAGTACAAGAAGAAAAGGAAGAAGGAGAAGAAGAAAAAGAGGAGGAGGAAGAAGAGGAAAATAATGATGAATTTGTAGAATTTCTATAACATACGAAAACATAAGTATATACAAAATGAAAACAAAATTGTTTTCTCCTGTATACCAAGACGTTGTATGTCCGGTCAGGTTGTGTATCCGGACAGTTGATTTAAATCAACAATTTGAAGAAGTTTACAAGCAATATTTCATGAACTTTTAAGATTTATGTTGGACAATATACTACACAGGACAATATATTCATAAAGTTAGTGCTATTTGATGTATATCTTCCATTAAATTACAGAGAAGTATTTGTCCGGACACTCAACCCCCTTCCTAAAAGATGTAATTGATTTAATGATGGATAAGGGTTAGAAAACCTTTCACAATTGCACAGTAAGCAAATATACTGATTCGATAACAGTTTTCATAATATACAGAGAGAGAGAAAGAAATGGAGCAGGCATATAAGCAATTTCCCTAATTACTTACTTTACCTCAGGCTTACTTTAATGTGAAAGGTGTAGGGGTGGGGCTTAGATAGGCATGTAGGCATCCAAATCAGGGCGATTAGTTCTATATTATCAACAGAATAATTATCTGCTGCATTGTAAATCAATTTGCTTCTCTATCTGTTATAAACTTATAGCTTCTCATTGTTTGAAGGACACGACATATACCTGGCAGGAATTAAAATTCCTTGAAATGCTATTGCGCTGTAATGGCAGCTATAGGCTAAAGCCGGGGGTAATAATTAGTGTGCTTCGGAATAGATTAGACGGCGCTAAATGCCGATTATCATCATCATTGTCATCAAAAGAATAAGATTATTAAAAGAGTGGGTCAAGGCCTAAGCGAAACCACATAAAATAATAGAAAAATAATAATGTTTATAACAGATGGGTCTTCTTCACCCACGGTAGCCCCATCAGTATGTTAAAGGTAAAGACCGGTAGTGGTAAAATTGCGGTTCAAGGGTTTTGGGTGCAAAACATCCATTCCATATTGTTTCAATATTCCCATTCAGAGGTTTAGATGTCACTACTTTAACCTAAATTGGCAAAAAAGCAGAAATATATGCCCAAATGTTCAATGTTGAAGTGCATTCGCGATATCTATCCGGGCCGGATCGATATGATAATTTAACAAATATATCAATCGGTAGGCGGTTTCCCGGCAGAATTTGTATCATCACGTATAGTCAAAACATATTCTTTCACATGATTGGTAATAAGAGCTTCCATTTCATTTTTGAGAGGGGGGTGTTTCCAAAACTGGTCTATACAATGCTTTTCTTGTGGATCCTGCAGTTATTGTTACCCTATCATTACCAGGCAGGCGCGTACGCAGGATTTTTTCAAGGGGGGGGTTTTAACATTTATAAATCGGTCCGAAAATTTCGCAACGACTCAGCCAGCCGCTGAATAAGCGGGGGGGGGGGGGGGGGGGGGGGGGGGGGGGGGGGGGGGGGGGGGGGGGGGGGGGGGGGGGGGGGGGGGGGGGGGGGGGGGGGGGGTAAGAGGACACTTTTTTTTTTTTTTTTTGGTCTCGAAATTTGGAAATTTGACATTTTGCTCCGTTGGGGGGGGGGTAAGGTCACCTTTTTTAGGTCGGCCATGGGAATAATTTTTTTTTTTTTTTTTTTTTTTAATAATTAAAAAAAAAAAAAAAAAAAAAAAAAAATCCAAAAGGGGGGGGTTTTAGGTTTTTTTTAGGGGGGTTTACACACAAAAAATTTCCAAAGGGGGGGTTTAACCCCCCAAACCCCTCCCCCATGCGTACGCGCCTGTTACCAGGTCCCATTTTACATCTGGGGTCAAAATGGTTAATGTAGGCGAAACCATCTCAGTAGTCAGATGATGTAGGCACCAAACAAGGATCGAACCCAGAGCCGCTCGTATGAGATTCCAGAGCATTCACTGTTATACCACAGTGCTCTCATAGATCATGTACAAGTCAGTTTCCATTTCAGACTTGATTCCGCCCGCCCCCATAACCGGTCCAGCCTCTCCCTACTAGATTTTTAAATGAATTAGTTATAATATTTTTATTGTTTCCCTGTTATATTTTTTCACCAAATATAATTTCTATCTTCTCAGCTATGATTTATCCTCATTGAAAAGTAAAAGTTTTGTTATTGATTTTATACAAAGAAAAAAAGGTTTTGTTATTGATTTAAAAAGACTTTCCAACTAAATTAGCTTGGTGCAAGATACATGTACAACTTCAACTAGTGCTAAAAAGCATTAGATCATGCAGATAGTATCTTCATTTGTATAATATCTCTTGTACATTTTCGTAAGGAATATTGTACATCAAAGGGCAGGAATACATCTCATCTTTCAGAATACCTACCACTTATTCTTTGGGGGTGAGATTTCATTAATAATCAAGAAAAAAAAAATGGGTAAGGGATGGGGGAGTCTAGAAGCACTGTTGTCTGAATTTGATGTAATGTTGTTGGATTGAACCTATACTACCCCTTTTTCTACAATATAGTCTGAAACTAAAGTGCCGAGCCAGAAGAAATTGTTAAATTCCGAGGATTTATTCCTGTACTTCGATGTCCGTCCTTGGGTGGTATTCTGAAATTCTTGTAAGTTTTCTTGTAATTTTTCTTGTAAGTCTTCTTGTATCTTTCGGAGATAAAAAATATATCGCTTAGATTGATGTAAGTTGGTAAACTCAAAAATGTCTGAGCGATCTATTATCTCGTGAAACTTTACCTCTATTTTATATTTGACCTGCCCAATTTTTGAGACCTTTCCAACCAAAACATTTACTTATCACTTTATATTATCTCACGTTCTTTTTCCTTTTCCTTCATCTCTCTCTCCTCGCTCTCACCTCTTTATGTTTCCTTTTCTTTTGTTGCCATTCGATCAGGGGGCACGAGCCACTGGCATCCATACTTGTATGTACACTGTTGGTCATAATGGTGGAATATTTATTTTTACCCCAGTTTAGGGAAGGATTTAAAAAAATTATTTATTTCTAATAGATCTAGATAATGGCATACATTCTCAGATTTTATTGAATATTAATTTGCGAGTGTTTGTTTTGCGTGACTGTTAAATCATATGTGTGCTACTATGCTAATCAGCTAAGGGACCTACGTCCTTAAGTCATAATTGACAGTAATGAGGATTAATGCCTCACAAAAGGGCACTAATATATAGCTGATCGACACGATTTTTATCCTGGGGCCTCACAGTAACGAGGCCATTGCTTAGCCCCTGAATCATGACTGTACGCAGTGTTTGCTAGGGTACGCGGCCCCTTCCACAAATCCCCCAAAACGAAGAAAATGCAATAAATTGTCAAAAATTCATTGAATTTCCCCCCGGCCCCCAACAGGAAAAAATTCTCTGCAGGGCCACGCATTATGGTTCAAGGCATGGCCACACAGAGGAATTTTTCCTGTTGGGGTCCCTTAGCTGATTAGCATAGTAGCACACATAATGATTAAACAGTCACGCAAAACAAACACTCGCAAATTAATATTCAATAAAATCTGAGAATGTATGCCATTATCTAGATCTATTAGAAATAAATAATTTTTTTAAAATCCTTCCCTAAACTGGGGTAAAAATATTTATTCCACCATTATGACCAACAGTGTATATATAGCCATGCAAGACAATGAAACGCTCACTTCCATTGCGTTTGTAAAGTTCAAACCATGCTTCCTGTTTATTCCATGTAGCGTTTTTAATTATAATATTTTCCACTATATTTCATTTCAAGTGAAGTAGTAATAATTATGATCCCCTGTCTTTAGTTGTACAGCTTCACCGACTTATCTAAGGGACTAATCATTTTGCACACGACTTTCATCCTTCTCGTTACTCGATATCACTGCCAAGGCGCGTCGGAAACAGTTTGGGATTGGGGAGGGGGGGTTAACATTCCAAGGGGCTCATCTTTCAGGGGCAAAGAGGATTGGGGGCAGAAGAAAATCTGCATCGCCACCACTCTTACATGTTTCATGCAGGCCCCGCGGAACGTTTTTCAAAGCGGAATATTAACGATCAGGTAACGAAGCGAGTGGAGCGTACATTGGTGTGGGGTCCAGGGGCCTTGCCCCAGCGGGGGTCAAGGGGTAGAGCCCCCGGAAGCATAGGGGTTTTAGGCGTTGAATTACGGTCAGATAAGCATATTCATATACCTTATTTGCGACACTGGCAGGTCACTAATTATTGGCGTTAGGTCCAGGGGGCTGAGCCCCATGAAGCTCATGGGTTTTAGGCATTTAATTCCAGTCAGATGAGCATATTATGATACCATATTTGTGACACTGGCAGGTCACTAATTGGCGGGGGTCCAAGGGGCTGAGCCCCAAAGCTCAGGGGGTTTAGGCATTTAATTACGGTCAGATGAGCATCCAGGGACCCGCCTTAGGGCCCTTGGTGGGGTCCAGGGGGCGGAGCCCTCGTAAGCTCGGGGGTTTCATGTATTTAATTACGATCAGATGAGTATATTTGATAGAGAAACAACAAGGTCACTCAATCTTTCTTTCGGGAATTCGTAATCTTCCAACGAACGCATAAAAAAGTACAATTTACAAAAAAAAATCACGAAAAATCATGTAATTTCAGCAACATTTGTAAATCATTGATATCGAATTCGAAATGAACCATGTATGAATTTCATTTGGGGGGCAACTGCTCCCCCTTCATCTCCCCCCCCCCCCCATGTTTACTCTCCATTTCTTTGAATGGAATATAATTTATACAGTAGGTTTGCGGTTGCACCATGTGTGAGAGAGAGAGAGAGGTTTGAGGAGTCCTGAAAAGGACTCTGACTCGGTAATCTTTCTTGGAGGAGTGTAGTCCTGAAAAGGACTGTTTGTTATCTTTCTTAGCATATAGTTCTCAGGAGAACAATAGCGAACAGGTTGACTATCCGTCGTCAGGAGATATAATTTGAATATAATTTGTATGTGATTCAATTCAGGTTTAATTATTTTTCATTTTCTTTTGGTTAAAAAACAAACAAACACTTTTAATCCTTAACTGGGGGGTGGGAACATTATTTGAACTCGTGGGCTCCTCCCCATCGGCCAATCAGATGGACAAAAAAATAAGGCAAGGAGCAGTATTAGGAGGAGAAAGGTGAGAATAATAAGAAAGGAAGGATGAGGAGGAGTGGATGACAAAAAGGAGAAGAAGAGAAAGGAGCAGAAAGAGAAAGAGAAGAAGAAGAAGTAAAAGAGAAAGAGGAGGAAGAGAAGTAAAAGAAGAAGAAGAAAAGAAGAAGAAGACAGAAAGGATGATAAGGAGAAGAAGAAGAAGAAGAATAGACAAAGACGAAGACAAAGAAGAATAAGAAGATGAATAGGATGAAGATGCAAGAGAAAGATGAAGAAAATGGGATGTCAGAGCGACATAGAATGAAAGATAAAGATTCGATGACAGTGTTCTCTCATCTAACTAGTCCTTTTAAGTCATTGTTCCCCCCCCCCCTCCCTACATGGCTGGACTCACGCTATGTCATTGTTGGATTTTTTCACTATCCACGGACATGGCGTAAATAATACAAAGCAGTGAGGGCATTGATTAATTGATTTTTCCGATGCCCTAAGAAAATGATGTGGATTATTTGTTTTTATAAGATGATGTTTTATTTGTTTAAAAAAAAAAAGTTTTATTACATGATTTTACTAATGACCGGTTATTAGTCAAATCACGTGTTAGGCAAAATAAATGGCTGGTCATGCACGTGTACGCTCTCAACCAATCATTTGATTAGAATCCTCCTCATCATCTTATAATACACCTATATATACCCTTGTTTGCTAGCATTGGCCACTGATTAGTCTTTTTCGCTGTTAAGGAGAACTAAACGGAGCTGCATAGCTGATTCATCAATTGGTAATGAGATGTAAGCCTTTGGAACAGAACTGATATTCTTTTAGAAGGAAAGTAAATCCTTTTGTATCAGACCATCGGTAAGTACCACACCCTATAATTCATTCGATATTCTTGATATTTCGTTACTAATTTATATGAGAAAATTGTAAAAAATATCTTTGTAATATTTTGCTGTTTAAATATATATAATATACTTGAAAGGGAAAACTGTGGAATGGTAATATAATATAGTATAAGTATTTTCCAGTAGAGTCTCTGACCCTCCTACCAAAATTCTTAATCCTATCGTGACCCTTTTTTCTGGTTTTACAAGACGCTCTTCTAGAATTCTGCCATGCAGTTAAAAAATACATTCCTCTTGTCGTTTGGCTTCGTATAGAGTCGTGTTGAAATTTGAAACGTGTTTTGTTTTCAGTATTATTTTTGTTTGTGTGGTTATTTCATCGTCGTCCTTCTGAAGAAAAAGAGATGCTGTACGTGATTCAACGAAGTAATTGTTCATTCTTCCAAAGAAGGAGATCCATCATTGAGATCAATGTTGAGATAAATCAAGAGAATACCAAAAAAAAAACAATCACAAAATGAGCAATTCTTACAGGACAAGAGAAAGAAAACAATTAAAAAAATTAATTTCTTACAAGAGTCGGTTTTTTTAAAACCGTTATTTATATTTTCTTTTAGCTTAATCACTAATCCTATGTTGCCATAATTAATCTTTTGGCTTCGAGGTTACTAAGGAATACAATTTGGCGCATCCGTTAGATTTCGAGATATTAATTCATAGTTTTAAATAATCTACCTTTTAAAACAAAGTTTCTAGGCTCCCTTTTCACTCTCCTATTTCAAGACAACGATTGTCAATTGTGGGAAATTCACAAGGGCGGATACAAAAAAATGGTAAGGACATACAGTCCTTTCGAAATATATGAACAATGACATAGTCAGAACATGATTTCTAAAGGCAATACAGCAGGGTATTGAAATACCACTTTAGATGATTTCTTGAAAGTCTTTCTGTCGTGTTGAATATTAACTTCGAAAACAGACGGTACTTTCAGATAAACAATGCCTTAACACTGAAGGTAAAACAGTCAAGCAAGGAGAATGTTTGTGTTAATGATGTCAATATGAAATGACAGAATACATAACTGAATTACGGTTGGGTGAACACAATCTACACAGGGACAAAGAGGATGCTACAAAAGACCAGAGAAAACTCCCACATATCAATCTACACTGAAGAATGATTAAACGATATGGTTGAAGATGAATTTCATATTTGATTTGATTTGATTTAACTTGATTTATTTATTTATGTTTGATTTTCTTTTTCTTTTGCATTTTTACAAATACATAACAAACAAACATTGCAAATTTACACATGGCAAAAGAATATATGTAGAATAAAGTAAGGCTGGCTGTAAATAATCAAAAACATCAAACAGGAGGGTTGACAAAGTAGGCAAAGCTTGATAGCATGACTACTCTCTAAGGATACATAACAATACAAATATGGAGGAACAAAATTTTGGTAAAAGGGTAAAAGGAAAGAGGGGATGCACATCAAGATTCACAGATGTATGTGGTAGTTGGAATTCAACTTGATATATAAAGATTATAAAGAAGATGCAAATTTGAATTGTGGGTGGCCAACTAGGGATATAATAGAATATCGCAATTAAATTATTGATTTACTATCGGGTTTACTCTTTACTCAGACTCATAAAAAAAGTAATTTTCACCCAAAACTTTACCACTATTAATGTATATATTTATGCACTTGTTTGCTTTTATGTTTATTTGAAAGAGGGCAATAGACAATCTGAATCTAAATCTAAATCTGGATAATTAAAAAGCAATGCGTTTGACTTTACAAAAAGCTTAATAACATTTATTTGAAATGTGTTTAGAAGAAATCCTATCTACCCAGAAAACCTGAAAAAATGATTATGCATGGCAAAATTCAATTAGTCGTTTTTACATTGTTAATCCGTTGTTGACATATATATATATATAGTGTATATGTAGTTTTTTATGTTTATTTCTATGTTATATGATTCGTATGTTAATCAACAAAATACTGATATATAATAAAGACGTTCAAGATATAAAACACAAATTCTTTCCTCCCTTTTTTTTCGCTGCATAATGAATGCCAACAACTTTACATTGTTAAGATAATAATGATAATAATAATAAAAAATGATATTAATAAGTTAATCTTAATCTGAAAGTAATACGGCTCCACACTCATGGTGGAGTAAAACGATAATGATCATGATAATTATAATAATTAATATTTTGAAAAAAATTATAATAATAATAATAATGATAACAACGATAATGATAAAAAACTTTTGCCTAGGGAAGCCTCGTCTGCATCAGTGCTGTTCTTTGCAAGGGCCTGCAATTATTGTTGCCTGATGTACTTGGGTGGCAAGTGGCAATTGTGGATTAATATCTTGTCAAAGGACAGTAGGTGCCGGGCTGGGATTCGAACCCTCGACCTTTTGATTGAGAGTGAACTACTATACCACGCAAACACCTCCAGTTATATTTTGCCACATACACAGACCATCGACTTCCTACTCTCTCTATATTGTTGTGCTGAAATTTGTCGTCTGGAAATAGGATTATTACTATTAGATGTCGTGAGTTATTTTTGATTGTTTTGGTCCTATACTATCCCGAGATATTTTACTAATGGTGGCTTGGTGGCTCAGTGGTTAGAGCGCCCGCCTCATGAACGGGAGGTCGTGAGTTCGAACCCCGGCCGAGTCATACCAAATACTTATAACAATGGGACCTTCTGCCTACTAGCCAGGCGCTCAGCATATTGGAGAAGGGAAGTAATAACATATTATGTTATGCTGGAAGAGCAGTTTTTATTTACCCTGGGTAAATAAAACGTTATTATTATTAATTATAAGGAAAATTGGGGAGGCAGCGTTTCTCAAACGTTCCGAACGTTTGTTTTTCCGAAGGTTTCTAATTCCGAAGGTTCTTAATCCCTGGGTTTTATGTCATGTTCTTAATAACTATGAACTTTCAGAATTAAGAATCCTATTTTATATTCGGAAAAACGAACCTGGAATAATGAGAGGGTAAAATTGACAAGACTGTTGAGTAGGCGGGGGGATGCGTGAGAAGGACAGGGCGTCTTCTTTCTCGTTAGTTTACCCGCCTTCTTTTTCAATTTCTCTCTTAGCTTGTCTCGCCCTCTTTTCTTTTGATGTTTGTTTGCCTTACCGTTTCAGTGAAGGGTTACGTACCCCGTGCTCCCCCGTAGAAACGAAGGACCCAGGAAGAGATGGGAATTGTGGAGTGAACGAAAACAGGTAAAGAAAATATCTTTACAGCTATAGGATACCCCATGAAAACTTATAATTCCAATTAATTACCAGCCACATAAAGTAACCATAATAACGGTCTTTCCAGTGGTGTGTTGTGAATAAAAACCTGTTTGTACCCAAGTCTAATTTATGATATGAAACAAACACATTCATTTTAATGTAATAATAATAATAATAATAATAATAATAATAATAACAACATTTATAATGCGCACATATCCACCCCAAGAGATGTTCAAGGCGCCTAACAAGGTAAGTACATTATACGGAAATAATGATAATAATGATTGATTTAATCTTCTTCCTGAATGCAGGCTATCAGGATTGTCTGGCCCCCGAACTACCAAATCTGAACTAAAACTTATTCCCACTAGGGCTATTATCATCCGAACCACCCTTAAAAATCTTCGGCTTTTTAATGCTCTTGCCTCCTAAACGATATGAGTTTTTAAAGTAACTGAAACAAAATTTATAAGGTTAATACTTGTTTATAATAACCAAAGATGAAAACAAGCAACCTCTCAAAACTTCTATTGTCATTTAAATGGTTACATTTCACACCGTCTTTTAATTTTTTATTTGTTCTCATATTTCAGGGCTTTTTCAAATTATAAACACCAACATGGCCAGGCAGCAGATCGCCACAAAACGACAATGTACCCTACTGCCCAATCTGTTCATCATCCTTCTCATCGTTACGGTTAGCGGTGGTACTGTAGAACAATGCCCCAAAGAAACGGAATGTATATGCCAATCATTACGTATGGTGAATCCGACAGTCATTGTCAGATGTCAACAAGAGCTTGTCGAGGAATTTCCAACAATGCGGCAGAAAGTGGTGGCGTTCTATGCTTTCCAGACAAGGGCCACGGCGCTCTCTCTCAGATCTTTCCGCAATGCCACCAACTTAGGCATGATCTCCGTCGTAGATAATCCTATCTCCAGTATCGAAGATGGGGTCTTGAGTTCATTGCCAAATCTTGTTTTTCTTGTACTGGCCAACATCAAGCTCAAAGGTACATCGGATTTAAACGGGCTTCGGGCACTGACTGAACTAACACTTAGTGACAACCTCTTGAGGAACTTTACAACAAGCTCCCTGCTTGATTTGCCACAACTTGATGTACTTGAGCTTGATGGCAACTTCATCACTACATTCCGTTTTAGTCATGATAAATTGCGGGTGCTGAATCTGAGCCGGAACAACCTGCAGGACTTCCATGAAGAATCGTTCAAAAATCTAAGAATGCTAGACATTCTGGACCTGTCGCGAAACTCCATTGTCCATCTTCGGAATATTGCCTCCCAAAGTCTGCACTCACTGTTCCTGGCTTACAACCAGATAGTAGATATCGACGGAACCATGTGGCAGGAACTTCCTGTGTTGAAATCCATAGACCTGTCTAACAATCGGATCAGAGATCTTAGCAATGTCTCGGGGCTTCCCTTTCTCAAGAATTTAAACGCCAGCGGCAATTTGATCGAAAGTTTTGACAGCATACACCCTTCAGCGACATTAGTTAACTTAAATCTCAGCCATAACAGAATGAAAAATCTCAGCAAGATGCCAGATTTTCCCCTCCTGGAATCGCTCTGCATGGCAAAAAATGCGATTGAATATTTTGATGGCAATGCCCTTCAAAACAGCCCACTTCTTTCCTTCTTGTCCTTAGAAGGCAATAGATTGGCCGAGTTTGGAGCTCTTAGTAACAACCCTCGTCTTGTTTCACTGTATCTCCAGAACAACATGATAGATGATATTGAAGAAGGTGCTTTCACTCGTTCTGCAAGTCTTGAAGACATCGATGTAGGATCTAACAAACTATCGGACCTACAAGAATTTAAGAATATGCCATCGTTGGTCTATCTCAATGCATCTGGAAATATGATCATGGAAATATCTGGACAGAGCCTGCAGGGTTGTACAAAATTGTCAATACTCGACTTGAGTGAAAATCTTCTCGAGGAATTTCCAAATTTCCCGGTAGTATATTGGCCCTTTCAGCTCTATTTAGATTCCAATCCTATTCGAGTGTTTGATTGGAACAAATTGCGGAATTTGTATTCCCTGCGTCGCCTGTCGTTGAATGGAACCCGAATCACGTATATTCCCCCGAATAGTCACTTCTTCCCAACTACCCATATTTCAATAAAAAATTACAACGCCTCCGTGACGATTGCAGATAACGCTCTTACAGCTCTTATTAGTTTGAGGGAACTGTCAGTACCCAATGTGGCAGAAGTGTCTCCGCGTATCTTTAGATCGGCGCACAACCTCAAAAGGCTCGAACTTCGCTCTGGCGAATTGTCCGAGATTACAACTGAATGGCAGTTCGTGTCTCTTGATTACTTCGATCTCTCTCAGAACCGAATACATGGAATAGACATCGACGGCAGATCGATGACAAGACTGAAGTCCATGATCCTTACAGATAATCTCATCACCAACGTCTCTTTTGTGAATTACCTTCCGAATCTCCGTGAACTCTACCTGCGCCATAACCGAATTTGGCATATTCCAAAAGATGCATTCACTTCATGTTCTGCGCTTACAGTTCTTGACTTATCATACAACATGATCGAGGAAGTCATTATCGGCACGTTTGATTACCTTAGGGCCCTGGGAGAGCTCTACGTTTCTTACAATATGCTCACTGATTTTTCCCTTGCCTTTGATACTAATACAGATAGCAGCCACGAGTTTAAATCAATCAATGGGGTACACCTCGAGGGGAATCGCATATCCAAAATTGACTCTATGACTTTCCAAAGTTGCGGTTATAGTCTGCGCAGGATCAACTTGGCTCACAACCCTCTTCGACTTATAAACGAAACAACTTTTCTTCGCAGCTTTGGTCTAAGGACCCTTGACCTCTCACATACAGATTTACAAAGCCTCACGGCCGGGCTCTTCCGAAATGTCGGTTACAAAAGTGATCTAGTCGTATCGCTGAATAACGTGACATGCCTGAAGGACATGGACATCATTAGCTTGACTTATCCGAAAAGAAAGGTCATTAAGAGACTTGAATTGAGAAACAACAATTTGACAAGAATACCCAGTTTCAACAATAGCATAGTCGTTGAGCTCGACGTCTCTCACAACAATTTATCCGATGATTACTACCGAGACTTGAGTGGAACAGAAGATCTCAAGTTTCTGGATGTAAGTGTGAACAACATCGAGGAACTGGACAGAGATTTCATTCAAACCTTTCCACGTCTGAAGCATTTAAACGTAAGCAGTAATAAACTGCAGCAGGCCCAACATAACCTGTTTGACAGTCTGCATAATTTGGAAACGATCGATCTCACCAACAACAAGTTGGACGGCATAGTGTTGAAGACAACAGAAAACCTAAAGGCAAATGTTAGAATTAACTTGACGGGGAACCCTATTCTATGCGACTGCTCTCTAGTAAAATACAGGGCACATCTAAAACAGAGTCAGCAGTTGTCCGGTCATGATGTTCCAGAGGGTGATGTTACGTGCCAGTATCCGCCGAGACTTTCAGGAGAATATGTTACAGATGTGCCACTAGAGCAATTCCAGTGTAAACCGGAAGTCAACCCGTCAAAAGCGGTCGTCTTTGGCGTTGTAGGGGATCCAATTCGCCTGGAGTGCCCGTTGCGAGATCGAAATGGCATCACCGTGACTTGGGAGAACGTAACTGAGATACACAGCGACAAACATATCCGTGTTTCTACAGATGGCCGACTCATGATCGAACAAATGACAACTGAGGATTCTGGCAACTACCAGTGTAATGCAACAAACCAAGAAGGATCAGAAATCCTGATTGTCCAGCTCCATGTTGGGCTCAACCCAATCGTCAATGACACCACCAGCAGCGATGTCATCTCCAGACTAGCGATGACTGTTACTGAAAGCCTTTCGTCCTATATCCAATTTAGCCCGGAAACGTTCGAAGGCCCATCTGATTTGCCTGGTGATCATCCAGAGGCTCGACAGGAGACAGTGAATGATGAGTCCATACCAAGGTTACCAAGGCGCTCCCAAGCTGTATCTATGGAATTATCGATGCTTTGCGTCATGCTCAATGCTATGGTGGTGATTACTCTATAAAATGACTTTCACCTATAATTTAAACGAATAATTCAATTATTGATGCCCCGTGTGTATGAAACGGGCATATGTTGTCAATATAATCATACGGCAGATCGCTTGAAGTATAAGATGCATGAACATATTGATTGTATAATGTTCTGGTCATAACAGTTAGTAAGTTTCAGTGGGCATGTTTAGATAGTGTTAATCGGTGTGTGTGTGTGTGTGTGTGGGGGGGGGGGGTAATATTATAATGATATTGGATATTTATATAGCGCACATATCCACCACGCATGGTGCTCAAGGCGCTCCAACTATTACCCCGGCTCTGCTAGGCAGCCGATTTCGGCGCTCACAGCATTCAAGGAATTCCTTCCTACCGGTACCCATTTAACACCTGGATGGAGACAAATGTAGATTAATATCTTGCCAAAGGACATTAGTGCCGTGGCGGGACTCGAACTGCGGACCCTGTGATCCACAACCCAACGACTTATCCACTAGACCACAGCACCTCTACTTCGAGAAGCGTGGATGTGGGACGGATATACGAAGTTGGATATGACATGCAACGCGTGATGTAAATATAGGAACACATTCATGAATAATGATATATGTAAAAGTCTATTTTAAAAAATCAATGTAGGCCCTAGCACACGCAGTTAAATACTTTTGAAACATTAATCTGGCACTTTCATTTGCCTTCTCCATCACCTTATTAAATGTGCGAACATGACAGTGACGTATTGCACTATGATTTCTACATGGTATGCGATAAGCTATTGAAAGACTTTGCGATCGTATTTGATAGTAAATGCAGAGTTTAAAATGTAAAAAGGCAAAACAAATATCTAAGTTTGACAAATACTTTGTTAACTATCGACTAGTTAGATTAAACATTCAATGTTAATGTTGAAAAGATAATCTCTTTAGCAAAATATATATTTTTTGTATTGTATTTTATTATTCATTCACATGAATCGTGGCTCACTGTTGTTATGGAAGTAATGAAAACATATTCTAGCTATTCTACCCTTCTTGTCTTGAATTGTTTTTTCCAAGCTTAATCCTGAAAGGCATTGCTTAGCAATACCAAATCTGAGATGCATTACCCTACGTGTTATCAGCGTCTGTGATATGGTGTATTATTGAAGCCCTACACAAAAATGCGCTTCAAATAGACCATGAAGTGCTTCAAGAAAGTAAACAAATTTGAGTGACCGGTTTTACCATACTCATTTTCCCCCAGTAGACTGTAGTGTAATAAAAACCGTTGGGAAAACGGTTTTTGAAATTTCGAATTCCAATTCTAAATATCTTGATAATCAGACTGGCGATCAGCTTGTAAACGTCAAGGGATTCCTGACTGACCTAAAGGTTTATAAAAATGACTGCAGCATGAGCTAAATCCAGGATTTCGTTTATAGTCTGAGACAAAGATACCCAATTTCTTTAAGATTGACTCTCTCATTCTCTCTCTCTCTCTCTCTCTGTATCCCTTTTCTCATTGCAAATGCTCATCCGGGGCACATTCCGACGAAGTTTAGTGTATTTTGTTTAATGTGAAACATTCTATATAGTTTATTGTTACATTGCATCACGGTATTTTCACTCTAATGTCTTCAATATAGGATTAAAAGACACCATAATGTCGCAAGTCATCTTGAATGCTCATCTGAATTTCTCTCCATTTTTTTTTAGCTCCGTAGTCCTAAGAACAGAGAATAACAAATTAAGATGACAATGATAATGATGAATAATGATGAGGGTTGTGATGATAGTGGTGGTGGTGGTGGTGGTGGTGGTGGCGATGATGATAAATAATGACATGTCTTTAAGACTTTAGCTGTGAATTCCTTAGTCCTAAAAACAGAGAATAACAAATAAAGATGATAATAATGAATATGATAATGATTATGATTGTGGTAGTGGTGGCGGTGGTGGTGATAAGAAATGACATTTCTTTTAGACTTTAGCTTTGAGCTCCGTAGTCCTAAGAACATAGAATGACAAATAAAGATGACAATGATAATGATGAATAATGATGATGGTTGTGATGATAGTGGTGGTGGTGGTGGTGGTGGTGGTGGTGGTGGTGGTGGTGGTGGTTGTGGCGGCGTTGGTGGTGGTGGTGGTGGTGGTGGTGATGGTGGTGGTGGCGATGATAAATCATAACATGTCTTTTAGACTTTAGCTGTGAATTCCGTAGTCCTTAAAAACAGAGAATAACAAGTAAAGATGATAATAATGAATAATGATGATGATTATGATTGCGGTAGTGGTGGTGATGATAAGAAATGACATTTCTTTTAGACTTTAGCTTTGATCTCTGAAGTACTCAAAACAGAGAATAACAATTATGACAATGATAATGAATAATGATGATGATTATGATTGTGGTGGTGGCGATGGTGGTGGTGATGGTGGTGGTGGTGGTGACAGTGGTGGTGATGAATCTGTAAATGGTGATGATGGGTAATAATGATGGGAGCGATGGCAATAACAATCGGAATGACGAATTCTGGTCATGGTTCAATATATACATGGTCCCGGTGCCAATCGCTTCGCTGTCTCAATTTCTGACACTTTCTAAATTCTCATTATATTTACCCTATCCTTACACCTCACCCGAAACCTAACCAGTGACTGGTCCAGGGGGCAAAACAAATATGGAAGGGGAAAAGATCTTACGAAATGGTCTGAAAATCCTTCGTAAGGAGTTAATAGGAGTTCGTAATGGTATTTGTGACCAAGGCTTAACATACACTCTAAACACTAAATTGTTAAGTCACCATTTAAAAGGGCAGAGGAGTGCATGCACAAAATTAATGATTTTAACAGTTTAAAAATGCCAGATCCAATCTTTATAGAGTGAGATCCAGCATGTTCAAAGTGTTAAACTACCTTTTTGAAAAAGTGGTCACTCCTCGGCCCTTTTAAATAGTGATTTAATATTTTAGTTTTCACAGTGTAGGGAAAATAACATGTAAAAAAACGTTTTAAAGCTTATCTGCCATTGTTTACAGGAGGGATTAGACCGCGCTGCAAGGTCACTGGACAGGTGGTTATCTCATCAACTCAGCTCTCAGTTAACATAAGAAAAAGAGGATTATGGGGGACCAATGGTCACCGATTAGGCATTGTTTGGATATAGAGGGCGCAAGTAGCTACAAGTAGTGCAGTGGGCCTTTAATATTCGAGTCATTGTTCCTTTTTAACTCGTGCAGTTTATATTATGTGCTTTGTACATTTTACGTTGATTTTACGTTAATGAATAGGTGTAAATGGGTTAGGCTAAGAGCCTCTCCCAAAATACTCACCACATTTTACCTATAATATTTCACCCCTCGAAGTCACCTAACCCACATAATTAATTTACTAACATTTGGTCTGCCTGACTATAGCTGTCGGGTCTAGCCTCCAGAGACCCCTCGACAGATCTCAAAGTCAGGTCGATTTCACCCAAACTACCCTTTGCACCAAACTTTGTCAGTAGGACGCAGTGCAACTAGACATTAGTCAACCAATTTTGGCAAATGTGGTATCATTTTTCTTATAAAAAGATTCCACTTCTCCTGGTACCAATGAAAGTTGCCCCACATTATTGGATTTGTGGTAGGCCCTTTTTTATGGGCCACCCTGTATATTAGTGTATGTCCGTTCTTTGGGAAGGGGCTTGTGTCAAGGTGGTGGGTGGGAATGGGGTGGTGGTACACCGGTGATTGGATGAAATGCGCTAAAGGAGAAGGAGTCGTATTGTCTTGTTTCAGGTTGCTCTCCCCTGTTCACTTCACCCCCTCCCCATTTCGCTCTCTTTCCCTCTCTCTCTCTCTCTCTCTCTCTCTCTTTGCATCATCAGGTTCACCCTAATTTATGTAATTTGCTTGTACATGTACTTAATTGTCAGGGCTCATAAAGCATCAAGCTTTGCTTATCTCGGAACCGTTGCCAGTTCTGTTTAAAATGAGTTCATATTTCTTAATGTATACTGATTTTGTTTTGTATTCAGAACTGAAAAATTCCCTCTCAAACTTATAAACTTGAAAATGTATGATTAAATATTTCGCCGGCATCGTTAAACAGCCATAGCAAATCATTAAGCTTTGAACAATCACACAATAAATTAAAGAAACAAACTCTAACAAAATGATATGGGCTAGGCAATTTATTTAAGAGCCATCAACATATAAGACCGTACTACTGTATTAGCAAAACAAGTACATAAAAAAACAGATTCGAGAAAAAAAATATTTCGTATAGTGCTTTGTTAAAGGTAATACAAAGTTTTGGTATGGGGTCATGAATTTGGTTAAAATGAACATATTGGAACCATATGCGATCCTACAATATTCAGTGATTGTTGTCGCGGTTGAAATCGAGTCTAAAGTTATGAAATTGTAAATAATAAACTCTTTATGTTGTATAGCTCCCTCTCAAGGTCAAGATATTAATTAAGCTATAAAACGATGTTTTTGGACTAAAATCGACCGAAAAGCTATTCCCATTTGGAAATTATATATCACATCTACATATTCTGAGATTTCATGGTCACAGCTACCATTGAACGGCCGTAGGCGATATTTGAAATTTATCAAATTTTATTTTCGATTTTTCTCGAAAGCTGAAGTGTTTTATGAGCTAAATTTTTAGTGCTTATAATACATTCACAGGTGAATCAAAATGTATCAAAATTGTAAGAATCACTATCCACCCGATTTTTCAAAATTTTCCAAAACTTTGTATTACACCTTTAAGATTTATCTCCTGAATTGCAAAAAAGTACACACAAAAATCATAATTTATCCCAATGGTATAAGCATTATCTAAATATATGTTAATGAAGCAACGTTGATTTTGGTTGTTTGGGGTGTTTTTACCAATAGAGCGCAATATGATGGCCCTATAGGCAGATGTGACGTAGCTAGGTCTCGTGCGCTCCCCCCCTGCCTACACACATATACACAAACAATCGAATAATAATAATAATAATAAATATATGATTTATAAGGCGCCAAATCCACTTGATAGTCAAATG